TGCCCGTTGTATCATAAGGTCTGTCATTGAGTCAGCTGGCGGGGTTTCGATTCTTTGGTTGTACGCGACAAGCAGTAGGGTCGCCTGTCCAACCTCGTGGGTTTCGTCCGGGTCCTCCGGTTTCCTCTCACTGCTAAAGACACCTACGCGCAAGCGAATTATTGAAATAAAATTAAACCATATGTTAGTTTGTGTTGAGTGGACGTTAAACCCCGTTTCTCACTCTCTCTTTAAAGATGCATTATGTAAGATTTAGATAAAAAAACTAGCCATTCTTGTTATAATAGTAGATGATGTAAAATGAATAATTTGAAAATTTCATTCAAATTACTCTGTTGCAAGAGAAGATATTAGCCTTTGAAGGTTTGACAGACGTGTGCTATGGGTAGCAAAAAACAAAAAATAAATAAACCTCAAACAGAATAAAACACATTCGTCACAATGCGTTAATTATTTCTGTTATTAACAAATACTATTTATTATAGACCTAAAAAAGGAATACAGCAAACAATGAGTCTGGCGTATACGTCAGTGGCGACAAAGGCCTATTTTTAAGGAGTGGGTAACTCTAAAGAATTCAAACTATCTAGATATTTAATTTTGACAGAAAGAGTGTAAATAACAAGTTAATAAAAAAACACAAGGCACTTTAGGCCAATTACTATTCAAAAAAAGTAGGGGATATTTGATTTTGGGGGCATAGTACTAAAATATGCAAATGACTACGAAAAAAGTCACTATAGAACCTAACAGAAGAAACATTTCCAGTTACATTTGACGCCCAAACGCACCAATAGCTACCGCATGGAATGCATGTGATGCTTGGGATCATCATGGGGGTCCAACCCAAGATTTGCACGACTCTGACTTTGAATGTTACAGTCATTGTGGCATTGAATTCCAGGGTGGAAACATCAGTTTAATTGTTTTAGTGACCAGAAAACAAATTTTGATATGCGTCGGCTTACCCAAAATGAAAGGTTACGTGCCCTTGGCATGCTACAGATCGGCACAACACAGGCGGTTGTGGCGCGGACGATGAATGTTTCTCAGTCTGTCATAAGCAGGCTATGGTCCAGATACCGTGATACACAATCTGTACAGGACAGACCACGCTCAGGTCGACCAAGGGCGACAACTCAAGCCCAGGATCGATTTATCCGTACCTTGGCCTTGCGAAATCGTGTCATCACAGCAAATCAGATCAGCGCTCGTCTTCAAACAGACACTGGTGTGAGAATGAGTGGCCAGACGATTCGGAATCGACTGCATAGGGGTCACCTTCGCGCCCGACGTCCTCGCGTGATCCCTTGTTTGAGAGATCATCACATTCAGGCAAGACGTCGTTGGTGTAGGGATCGTCAACACTGGGATAATCGACGCTGGAGCAATGTGATGTTTTCAGATGAGTCAAGGTTCACTGTTGATTTTTTGGACAGACGTAGGAGGGTGTGGCGTCGTCGAAACGAGCGCTTCCAAGACGTTAACGTCATCAGACATGATCGATTTGGGGGTGGTTCTGTTATGGTGTGGGGAGGCATCACTGTTGCTGGAAGAACGGCTTTACATGTTGTTGCAGGGCGTGTTACAGGCCAGTACTACCGGGACAACATCTTGGCAGTCCATGTTGTGCCGTTCGCACGACGTCATGGCCGCCGTTTCATCTTCCAGGATGACAACGCAAGATGTCACAGGGCCAGGATCGTTACAGGTTACCTCCAACAACAGAACATCACCACATTACCTTGGCCAGCACTGAGTCCTGACCTCTCCCCCATCGAGCATGTCTGGGACATGCTTGGACAGAGGTTACGTCAACGTCCACAACGTCCTGCCAATGTCCAAGAACTTGCTGCTGCGTTGCAACAGGAATGGGACAATCTGGACCAAAATGACCTTAGACGTCTCATTAGGAGTATGCCACGTCGGATCAATGCTTGTTTGGCAAACAGAGGAGGATTTACCCGTTACTGACTTGGTTGTGATGCTGTGGTAACTTTGCTGTTTGACCCCTGGTATCATTTAACCCTTATAATGGTCAGTCTGTGCCTTACTTAGTCTAACGATCATTTGGAATAAATCGATGAATGTGAACTTCATTTCATTTTGTCATTTGTTTCTTCGTCAGTTTCATTAGGTGACTTTAATAACACTTAAAAATCAAATATCCCCTACTTTTTTTGAATAGTATATAAATAGTATTTGTTAATGACAGAAATTGAAAACTTAACAGCAAAATTAATGCATTGCGACGAATGTGTTTTATTCTGCGTGTTTATTTTGTTTTTTGGGGGTTTTTTGTTGTTGTTTTTTTAGAGGATTTTTTTTTCTTTTTTTTTTGTTCTGCCAATATTTCTTAATTAGGAGAAAACTAATTTTGGTCGAAAAACTGAAAATAATAATTATTATTTCATCAGCGTATAGGTTTATTAAAAAAGAGAAGCGAATATTAAATGAATTAAGGCAATTAATTTGATAGAAGGCACTTCTGTAATAAAAGGCATTTAAACTAGACGCCTTCTCGTATTATCAGCACAGAGTATTTATTCGTTTCGTTGTAAATTCTCCGACAATTCTATATTTTAGTGCAGAATACAAAATTCGCGGGAAATAAAGTAATCTCCATGATCAAGTCGTATTATTCACATCTTTTGACGTTTTGGTAGAATCACAGACACCGCAACACCGGTATAAAATTGATTTTGAAATAAACTTCGGTTAATATACTTACTGATCGGTGAGCCGTAAATTTTGTAGTTATCATCATAGTCATATGTGCATTTAATAATCCAACAGGATGGCACATGCTGTCATAAATATATTTCGGTTTTTTCTTTTTGAATTTAATAGCTTATGTGCGAATAATTATCCTGGTGATTTGTTTTAGCTGGACAAAATGTCGAAGTATATATATATCAATAAGCGGAAAATCCTCGATCGCCATTTCTCCTAATTATGAAAGCAGTAAATAAGACGAACAAAGTGGTTGCCGGGGTGTTGGGGATAAAGGAGGGGGGGGGGTAATTCTTTCTCCCAAAGAAAGCAACATGGCGTCAATTCTAAAAACAAAAATAAACCAAGAAATTAAATGAAATGAAATGGGGTTTAACGTCCTACTGTTCTGCTCCAAACTGGGCTAATGAAGACGGGCATACACCATACAGTGTGCCATGAGGGAAATTTTGCCCGGACAGCGGCACTACGGCCTACTCTTATATCGAATTCCAACTGTCAAGGGATATTTTACGTGCAAGTCAATGTGTACACGGGACTTCGGTTTTTCGTCACATACGAACGACTAGACAGCTGTCCTTGTCAGGCCCTCCGTCCTGCATCACTGACAAGGGGGAACCACGCCGGAAAATCTGGATGAACTTTCTCGGCCAATGCAGGGATCGAACACCCGACCTCCAGGCTAGCGAGCCAGCGTCTTACCCACTTAGCCACCGTGATCCCCAATTAAACCAAGAAGTTAGAACCATTGACTCGGTCGTACGTGACGATCAATAGACGAGTGGATCAATGATGTGGCTGTAGTTAACATGACCAGTGTAGTACTCTTTTTTTTTTCTTTTTTTTTAATAAACAATATTTTTATTCAGGATGTCTAAATGGGATTGGGGAACAGGCTTAGCCTATGTAAAACCACTCTCCCTAGATAATATACATATAAGTGTATATACACAGTTAAAATGGCAAAAACATACATATAAATATATATAAATACATACATATATAATGAGCAATAAACTATAACACATACTTATGAAAAAACAGCTACTCATATAATTGGGCGACGTTTCGAAGAGTACTCTCTCAACGTTATCAAGCTAATAAACAAGCCCAAATAGAGAGAGAGAGAAATGGGGTTTAACGTCCACTCGACACAAACCAGGTCATTTTGGGACTAACATATGGTTTAATTTTATTTCAATAATTCGCTTGCGCGTAAACCCACGAGGTCGGACAGGCGACCCTACTCCTTGTCACGTACAATCGAGGATTCGAAACCACCAAGCCCAAATAAATAAGTACGAGTGTAGCTGTTTTTCCGTAAGTAGTTTATTGTTATAGTTTATTGCTCTATCCAGTTACTAAATGCCTTTAAAAGATTAATAGATGATGAGATAGTAGTACTCCACGGACAATACCTAAGCAATGGTCGTGGACTTAGGTGTCCTCCGGGCCCGTAGCCACGGGGGGCTTAGCCACCCAAAAAATCGAATTAGCCCCCTCCCCCCCCCCAATATTTCGCCAACAATAATGATTTCTTAAGAGCGTTCGTAGCCGGCCACATCCTCAGCCCCTCCAAAAAATTCCGTAGCCCCACCAAATCTTAAGAGCTGGCTACGGGCCCGGGTCCTTTACAGGCAGAACAGAAGAGAGGACTATATACTTGGGCGTACTCTAGAGATAGTACAGAAGCGAGAACCATAGACTTGGACGTACTATTTTACCCAATAGTTTCATATTTACAGTTCTATTCCGTTATATTTTCCATTTTTTTGGCGATACATATAAGAAACCATATAGACGATCATTCAGGTGTTTGCCCAACCGAAACCAGTCAAATTTGATATTTTTAGAATCCCCTAATACAGAGCTAACATTTGACACCAATTTAAATCTTATTACTCATCAGCCAATTTTAATTCTCATTGTGGGCGTGGCAGATTAGGCACATTTAGGTGCTCAGATTTGGGGCTTGCCCCACTGAAACCATTGAGATTCTGGTTTGTCCCACTGAAACCAGTCAGATTTGGGAGTTTCGGAAATGAAGCCTGCGTAACCTTATTGGTTTTCTTCGGGTCGCTCGGTTCCCTCCCACAGTTAAGCGATTCATTGTAATAAAATGATCGAGTTTATGTCAAGTGGACGTTAAACTCTCTCTCTCTCTCTCTCTCTCTCTCTCTCTCTCTCTCTCTCTTTGTTAGTAACATGACGTCCAGTTATGTAGCTAATTGAAAAACCATAACCGTATATAGTATAACAATGTAGAATATTAGACAAAACAGGTTTAATCCATATATACTAGGGATTCATATAATATAAGGCTTCATTGTAGTATATGTACCAAACAAACTCTTATTCCAAATATCTAAAAGCTTGGTTATCATACGAAGCACGTTTGTCTGTTGTTGAGATGGTGGTTTCATCTGGGGCGTCAACATTTATTTCTACTGGAGATTCCTTTGCCCACTCTTGTTCCGTTCCGCTTCCAAAAATTAGGAAAAATATAGCACCACATATATTGATGCCGCCATTTACGAAGAAGACCGTTTGCCATTGACCCAGAGTTCCCTGTAAAAAATACACAATAGTAAATATATATTTCCGAATTACAAAACATGTCTCTAGGACAGTGATTCTCAACCAGTGTGACGCGGCACATTGGTGTGCTGCGACATCTTCCTAAGTGTGCCGTGAAATTTTTAACGGCACACTAAGAAAATGCGAAAATCCACGTGATCCCATTGGAGTATTCACTGGTGTTTACTGATGTGTGTTTTTCTTTATTTAGTTTGAGTCATTCTATGTGTCTATGACTAGTCTCTCTGTCTACGGTTGTATTCCGTCTGACTTGCAAATATTTTTCATATATATATTTAGTCAGGTGTGCCGCTGTTATTCAGGTCTTCCAATGTGTGCCATTGGGAAAAAAATGTTGAGAACCACTGCTCTAGGATATCCCTTGTTTCAAAAATTACAGACGCTTACATTTTTCGTTCATTATCTATTTTTTTCACGACGTTATTCACGCTAAAACATAAAGCATTAAATCAACGTATTTAACTAGACTGTTTGACAATCGCATTAATAATTTCGTTTTCTTAATGAATCAATCTGATTGAAATACGGATCTTTATTTCGTTTCGTCTTTTATACTTCCGATGGCCATCATTACATGAAGATCTAACTGGTTATAGTAAAAGGTCGCGTCAGAGGTCGTATGAGCGACTTTTGACCCTATGACGTCAGGCATTGATTAATCAATCAGCGTTGACGTTTCAAATGGTTTACGCTGCACAAGAAATCGCCGTAACAGATAGTTTCATTGGCTAATCCCTCACGCCATCCAGGACGCAGGTTATATAACAACTCTTCCAGATCCTAGTGTAGTAAAGACAAGTAAAACGAACTTTTAAACTATACCAGCGGCTGCCAGGCAGGATACGCACACATTTTGCAAGAGATGGATAAAGAACAAGCTAAACAAAAAGCGATCTTTCGTACAATCGAGGGCCATAATTCAGGAAGTTAAGATCCGATATGCGGATATCGGAAGGAACCAAGATCTTTGGGTAATAAATAATCATGTATTTAAAGTTTCATCAAAATCGGATCACAATTGTGGCCTCCAGAGGGTCCACAACCTTGATATACCATATATTTACACTATTTGCATAAGAGGGACGGCCAATTTGTCTGGCAATTTTGGTCCAATTTTCGCGAAATTCGAACTCGGTCATCAATAGGGTGTACCGGTGTTATATTCAAACGGGTTTTTCATTCGGATAAAAATTGTTACCTCTAGAGTGACCACAAGCCAAAAACGTGATTTTTCGTACGGTCAAGGGCCAAAATTCAGGAAGCTACGATCTGAAATGCGCGAATTTTGAAAGGAACCAAGATCTTTGGGTTATAAACATCTATTTCAAGTTTCATCAACATCAGATCAAAATTATGACCTCTAGAGGGTCCACAACCTTGATATACCATATTTTTACATTATTTGCGTTCGATGGGCGGCAATTTTGTCCGGCAGTTGTGGTCCGATTTTCACGAAATTCGAACTCAAGCCCCATTACAGTGTAAAGGTGATATATTCCAACGGTCTTTTAAATCGGATAATAATTGTGACCTCTAGAGGGACCGCAAGCTAAAAACGCGATTTTTCGTACAACCAGGGGCCATAATTCAGGAAGTTATGATCCGATATGCACAGATATCGAAAAGCGCCAAGATCTTTGGGTTATAAACATACATTTCAATTTCAAGTTTCATCAAAATCAGATAAAGATTATGACCCCTAGAGTGTCCACAAGCTAAAAACGTGATTTTTCGTATCAATCAGGGGCCATAATCCATGAAGTCATGGTCCGATATATGCCAATATCGACAGGGACCGAGATAGACCTATATTTTAAGTTTCGTCAAAATCGAATAAAAATTGTGACTTGTAGAATGTCCACAGACAAATTGTGGACAGGTGGACGGACAGGGGCGATAACAATATACGTCCACATGAACGAATAGGGATCCGTGTTTTAACCAGATTGTTAGTGAATGGAGGTTTTTATTTTCTTGTCAAGTTCTGTTCATTTCTTCTTGTTTTGATTATAATGAGGAGTTTATGAATGAAACTGTAGAAAGTATAGTAATCACATCTGGTGTTAGAGCCGTTGTTATAATGGGAACACAGATGGCCACAACACAAGCAATGTTCACTGTTAATCCTGCAATAGTTCCTGCAAATCTGTAAGATAAAAACACACAATGAATGAGTAATGATTTAGATAATATAAAACCCACTCAAAACATCTGTAATAAATTTAATTAAAGATCCATTAGTTAGAGTTTAATAAAGAGTTAGACATTCTTACTATAATAATTCAAAAATAGATGATAAAAAAAAAGAAAATATTGAAAATTTCAGCTGAATTACTTTATTCTTAGTGGAGTTGTCAGTGTTGGAAGTTTGGACTAGAAATAGGCAGCAACTGCGTCCGCACCGTCTACAAGAATTGCCCATCCTTTGATTGACAGACGATAACTCCGTCCACATATTCTCGATTATCAAGTAACATTTCTCAATGGCTATAGTACTCTCGCTTGGTAGGCCTTTCGTCGGCTGTCTCCGGTAGTGACGTCAGTGACTAACGGTAAACGTTAGCTTGGTGTAATTTGAAATGAATGACTTGAAATACAAGCTGTATACAAGCCATCCGAGGGTCTGCAGAGTTGATTTTGGGCTTGTCATGTAACTAAAGGCCTAATTAATAATTGCTATAACATCTGAAGCCTAAGAAAGACTTGCAATTGGCAGATTTAGCTCTTGTATAATGTGTGTTTAATAAACTGGATTTTATTCCGTTCGGATGACGAGCAGAATAAATAAGGGGTGAGAAATGGAGGTAAATGCCCACTCGACACAAACTAGGTCAGATCGGGACTAACATATGGTCCATTTTACTTCAGTAATTCGCTTACGCGTAGGTGTCTTTACCAGTTGGAGGAAACCAGGGCACCAAGAGAAAACCCACGAGCTTAGACAGGCAGCCCTACTCCTTGTCACGTACAGCTAGGAAATCGAAACCACTGACAAGGGAGAACCACGCCGGATGTGTTGTTTCACTCACCAGCAGGTCTTGGGCTTCATTCTGGTGATGGTTGATAAAGTTTCCCGCGGGATTGATAGCCTGCCCAACAAAACCGCCCCACCCAGCCCCACCCTCTTGTCAGTGGTAAGGAACAGCGTCTATTCTTTCGGACAGAAACCATTGACAGTTGGAATTCGACGAAAAGTAGGCTTAGGTCTAAATATTAAGACGAATTGCAGATTTCGTCAAATATTATTACGTCACGTGATTGTTTACTGTATACACAATTGTGGGTAACGGTTAGGGCTAGGTCTAGGGTTAGCGTAAGCCCTAACTCTGTTCACATCTCGTGATCTATGACCAAATCTGCAGTTGGCCTTAATATTTAAACCCAATCCGACAAGTAGGCAATGCCCTTGTCTGGGCAAAATCATGTAACATTGCATGGCCGTATTATCCCGGTTGTTGTAGCGGTATTTTAGGGGAGTGAAGTCTGTGTCACTACAGGCCCGGGACTGTACAGCGCAGTGGGCGCATACGGCTGGCAACCGGATCCATTCACTTGATTTGATATTTGTTTATTTGGTGCAATGTCTATTTTCTGTCTTGTTCGCAGGTTTATCTTGTAGATTTTTGTTTTACGTGTAGTGCGGTCCTCCTGCACTTACTATTAAAGTCCAGTTCATGTATATCCAATAACCTCTACGATCATATCGTTAGACTACAATTCACTGAGGTTATTCTGTATATTACCTTGGTGCTATGTCCAAATGATTAACCCTGAATGCTGCCGTGGTTGCCGATTGAAAACCAACAGCTAGCGTCATTAAGCCTACAACCAGATTTCTTTGTTCGGAATCAAGGAAGCTCAAGCCTATTATTATCACTGAAGGGAACACCATGCCTGTTGAAAAATATACAATTATTGTTTACGTCAATGGGCCTTATTTAAAGCCTAGTTTTATTATTTTACATCACCAATAAATACAGAAATTCCTTTAAGCATTATTTAACAAACACAAACAAAACCTATGGAGCTCTACCGGGGTCACAACAAATAAAATATCTTCCAGATAGATTCTCTAAGTAGGACAGAAACTTCGGCGCTCTTATATAAATCTTTTTTTTTCTTTAAAGTGAGATTTGGATCATAAGGTCTAACTGTCAGTGAGTCAAGCGGCGTGTTTACGACCCCACACTGTCATTAAGACAAGCTTTTTGGTTACGACCCCACACCGTCATTGACACAAGCGGCGTGGTTACGATCCCACGCCGCCATTGAGACAAGCGGAGTAGTTACGACCCCACACTGTCATTTAAACAAGCGGCGTGATTACGATCACACACCGTCATTGGGACAAGCGGCTTGGTTACGACCCCACACTGTCATTGACACATGGTTACGACCCCACACTGTCATTGACACAAGCAGCGTGGTTACGATCCCACACCGTCATTTAAACAAGCGGTGTGATTACGATCACACACCGTCATTGGGACAAGCGGCGTGATTACGATCCCACGGCGTCATTTAAACAAGCGGCGTGATTACGACCCCACACTGTCATTGACACAAGCAGCGTGGTTACGATCCCACACCGTCATTTAAACAAGCGGTGTGATTACGATCCCACGGCGTCATTGGGACAAGCGGCGTGATTACGATCCCACGGCGTCATTGGGACAAGCGGTGTGATTACGATCCCACGGCGTCATTGAGACATTTGTCGTGGTTTTGATTCCTCGCTCGCTGTCCCTGACAAGGCGTAGGGTCACCTGTCCAGTCTCACGGGGTTTCTCCTGGTTCTCCAGTTGAAGCATTAGACTCTGTACCAAAATGAATTAGTCTTTATTATTATGATTAATCTATTTAATTTGTTATTTTTCCTTTGTATTTTGACGTGGTGTCCATAGATAAGGTTCTCCGCCTACCTTGTGTAATTTTCGTCATACGAAAGAGGTTTACTCAGGGCCTCTGCGTGGATATATATTGAAAATTATAAAATCACAATAAATAAATCACACAATTTATCGATATGGAAAATAACAATAGTTTGTACATTTGAATGTTATTGCCAGTTATATGAATGTTATTGCCAGTTATTTGAATGTTATTACAAGTTATTTGATGTTATTACCAGTTATTTGAAAGTTATTAGTAGCTATTTGAATGTTATTACCAGTTATTTGAAAGTTATTAGTAGCTATTTGAATGTTATTACCAGTTATTTGAAAGTTATTAGTAGCTATTTGAATGTTATTACCAGTTATTTGAAAGTTATTAGTAGCTATTTGAATGTTATTACCAGTTATTTGAATGTTATTACCTATTATTTGAAAGAGTTTTCTGTTGTGTGATACAGGTAGCAGTTTTCTAGTTACAATGACGTCAGCTAAAACAGCGAACACCAATCCCATGATGAACCTACATATAAAAGGTAGGGATGACAGAACACCATTCTGAAAATATACACAAGTTGAAAGACATTATTGATAACTGCCATGATTTGATTAAATAAAGGAAACGGCGGTGGTTCATTGAGCAAGAAGCTGATTCGCACCCGGTGGTGACCGAGAAAGTTCATCGGAATTTTTCAGCCTGGTTCCTTCTTGTCAGTTGTGCAGGACAGGGATGGCCTAACAAGGGACAGCTGTCTAGTGGTTCGGATGGGACGAAAAACTGATCCCGCGTGCACGTAAAAGGTCCCTTAGCATTTGGTCTTTTGATATAAGTGTATGCCGTAGCGCCGCTGTCCGGGCAAAATTTCACCCATATCACACTGTATGGCGTATTCCCGTCTTCATTAGCCCAGTCGGATCAGAAAAGTAGGACGTTAAACTCCATTTCATTTCATTTCATTTCCACAAAGCAATAAATACTTTACGACAAAATGGCATGTTGAATTATAACGTCGGTGAAGGCCATAATCTGGTATAAATTTCATTTGTTTTGGGGTTTTTTTTTGTTTTTGGTTGGGGTTTTTTTTTTTGTTGTTGTTTTTTTCTTGATTATGGGGTTTGTTTTTGGGGATACTTTCGAAGGTTCACGCTCCAAATAGACCTGTTGTGGGACGGAACACGTCAGGGATCATATCGATAAAGAGAGAGAGATGGGGTTTAACGTCCACTCGACACAAACCAGGTCGTTTCGGGACTAACATATGGTTCAATTTCATTTCAATAATTCGCTTGCACGTAGGGGTCTTTAGCAGTGGGAGGAAACCGGAAGACCTGGAGAAAACCCATGAGGTTTGACAAACAGTCTTACTCCTTGTCATTACGCCACTTGACGCAATGACATATCAATGATATCACGCGCACGCGTTAAATCCCTAGACCACCCAACTCGAACCTTGATCATTAGAAGAGATAAAACTTACATCAGTTACATCAAATTTGAGAACGTCATTCATATAAATGGGTAAAAACAGGGATATGAGAGTTATTGTCCAAGCATGGCACACGTGACAAGTTAAAATAGCCAAGAACGGTAAAGAAGTTAACACTTTTGACCATGGAACGCGTGGAATCTAAAAGAAAAAAAGACAAAAATATCAGTGTAAACAAAATGATATAATGAGAGATGGAGAGAGAGAGGGAGAGAGAGAGACGGGAGAGAGAGAGACGGGAGAGAGAGAGAGAGAGAGAGAGACGTGGGTTTAACGTCCACTCCATACAAACTAGGTCATTTCGGGACAAACATATGGTCCAATTTTATTTCAGTAATTCGCTTGCGTGGAGGGGTCTTTAGCAGTGGGAGGAAACCGGAGGATCCAGAGAAAACCCACGAGGTTGGACAGGCAACCCTTCTCCTTTGCACGTACAACCGGGGAATCGAAACCACACCAGTTGACTCAATGAGCTTATGATACAACGTGCATGCGCTAACCATTCGGCCACCCCTCCCCACCCCTCCCCACCCCCTTAGTTATAAATTAAAAGCATGCGACTATAACAGCGCGAATATTGACACAGATGAAATCATTAAAAATAAAGAGTGATTGAATCCGAGAAGCCCTGACTTGTGTAAAAGTTTGAAATTGGAGATTTACGAGAATCATATGATACAAATTCATTCAATAAATCGCTTGTCTGTAGGGATCTTTAGCAGTGATGGGAAAACGGGGTTTAGGCTGGCAACCCTTCTCCGTGTCACGTTTAAGCTTGGGATGCCCCCCCTCCCCTCCCACACACACACACACACACACTTGACCCAAAGATCGACTGTATTAGACAACCTGTAAGATATTTCAAGATACATTATGTAAGAATCGACATAGTTCTCGATATAATAGTTCAAAAATAGATAATGAAAAGTGAATATGTTACTTCATTCATTCTGACTGGAGTTATCGTCGATTGTCATTGCTACCGTTATTACGATAATAAACGAAATCTCGATTGTCCTTTTTAAAAATAACGTATTTAAATCTGTTGAAAATCAAAAAAACTCCAAAGTTCTAGAGTTTTGATTATGGATCTGTCATGTTGTTCTTAGTGTTTAACGTCCGCTTCCACCGAAGGTAATATCGCAGACAAGTCTTTTTATTATTATTATCTTAGCGCACCCGCAGGAGTCTTTCCTGTGGGTGGAAACCGGAGTACCCGGAGTAAAGCCACATACGCTCACTCCAGGGATCGAACCCAAAGCCGCAAGCCAGAGGTGACCGGCCAAGCTAGAGGTCGAATCGTGACAATCTAGACCACTAGCCCCCCCCCCCCCCCATCTGTCATGTAAATGTCTCATGATTTATATAACATTTGAAACCAAACGAAAGATCTGCATTAGGCAGATTTTACTCTTGAATAATGCAGCTTTAAATTGATTTACCTTTTTTGAAACAGATTTAACTTTCCCGCTTTCAATGTAGACCTTTTCTCTTTCCGATATTCTCGGGTGTTTATCAGGAGAATTATAAACAATCCACCACCAGAATATCATCCAGATAATTGTTCCTAGACCTACGTTTATATATAAATAAAATAAAATGGAATTTAACACATCCCTAGAACTACGTTTATATATAAATAAAATAAAATGGAATTTAACACATCCCTAGACCTACGTTTATATATAAATAAAATAAAATGGAATTTAACACATCCCTAGAACTACGTTTATATATAAATAAAATAAAATGGAATTTAACACATCCCTAGAACTACGTTTATATATAATAAAATAAAATGGAATTTAACACATCCCTAGACCTACGTTTATATATAAATAAAATAAAATGGATATTTTTACACGTTTACTGGACCATCCCGAGGATCAAACTCACGACTGCATTATATACACTGAGTACTATCTACTGTACTTCGAGGATAGATCTCTGTCCTAAATATTGATGGCCTGGCCCTAACTACTCACGTTAACAGACTATAAAATGTATTAATTATTGCTTGAGGATTATCATTCTGGTACTTTCATATCCCTTTCTGACACGGACTGTAGTCTGAAACACCAGTCGTTATTCTCGGCGTAGCTCAATTGTGGTTAAAACGCAATTTAATCCTCTGCCAAGTCATGAGTGAAAGTGTGGAAAAGGTTGGGAAATGGTTACCAAATATGTGGAATATAACGGATCAATCAAAACCTAGTATATAACGCACCAATCAAAAACTACATGTGAAATATTTAGAATATAACCGACCAATCAAAAAGTACATGTGAAATATTTAGAATATAACCGACCAATCAAAAACTACACGTGAAATATTCCGACCAATCAAAAACTACATGTGATATATATTCCGACCAATCAATGTAAAATATTTACCAAATATGTAAAATATAAACGGCCAGCCATCATCAACGGGAATCTTACAAACAAATCCAGCAATTCCAGTAGCTACAACGTTACCTAAATTTACACCTGAAACAATAAGGAGACAATGAAATAAGAATATGTCATAACTGGGCTACCATATGTCACATTCAACACACAATCGACAAGGCAAATGTAACGGCTAGAATCTCACAAGAGCACCGGCCGAATCTCGCCTGGCTGTGAAAGAATCTTGGTCGTGAACTGTGTAAAAAGACATCGACTTGCACCAACAGGGGGTCCGTAACACCTACCCTATAAAATTGTCCAAAGTTTCCAGTAAAGAATTGGATTTGGGCAGGCGCGAATTTGGGAAGACCCCTCCCCCCGCCCCATCCCAATGAGACCAAGTAGACACCTATATTGTTCACAAAGAATCAATAACAATTATAATATGGCAAATCAATTTGAATTAAGCGGGTTTCCGCCCCCCCCCCCTCTTGTTAATTCTGCAGGGTGGAGGGCCTGGCAAGGAACAGCGTATAGTCGTTCGGATGAGACTAAAACATTGGTGTGCACATTAAAGATCCATTGGAAGTTGGAATTCGATAAAAGAGTAGTCCGTAGCACCGCTGTCCGGGCGAAGTTTCCCTCATAGCACACTGTGTGGCGTATTCGCGTCTTCATTAGCCCAGTAGGAGCAGACCAGTAGGGCGTTCCCTTGCATTGCTTTCCGGAAAGATTACGATAATTGAACAGCTATTTAGGCAATACGATCTTTTAGTAAGTGCAGGAGTATCGCACTAGACACAAAATATTTATTTAAGTATTTTGTTAACATTCATTGTGGGTTTGAAATTGTGGATGGCTTCCTAGATTTGGAGCACACCCCACCCCCCACCCCCCGACACACACACACACCCTTTTTCACAGCTTCTAGATCCGCTATTGGATTAGGGTTACGTCCTGCATCAAGGGAATGGCATGGTACCGCCATTGTTACTTCAGTTATCATCTTACCTGAACTAGAAACCGCCAGTAGTCTCGCTTTCTCGTTTTTTGGTGCCCAGTCCGCCCACAGGACTTGTAAAGACGGCAAAATAACACCCTGCAGATTGAAATGAAATAGAATGGGGTTTAACGTCCTACTTTACTGCACCAACCGGAGCGATGCCGACGGACATGCACCATACAGTGTGCTGTGATTGAGAATGAAATGGGCTAATTCAAACGGACATACGCCATACACTGTGCTGTGATGGACATTTTTCACGTCCTACTTTTATCGAATTTCTACTGCCAAGGGGTCTTTTACGTGCACGTCAATGTACAAACGTGACCTTGAGTTTTCGTTCAATCCAAGCGACTAAACGTTGTCCCTTGACAGGCGTCCCATCTTGCACCACTGAAAAGGAGGTTGGGGGACGCCGGAAAACCAGATGAAGTTTGTCGGCCAACGCAGAGATCGAACACGGGACCCCCCCTCCCACCCGGGTTAGACAACTTCTGACTCACTGAGCCACCATGGTATGAATGGTATAATATATATGTCAATAAACCGACTCTCTCCCTTCTTATTGCAGCTTGTTCAATAACACACCTTTCACTGTGTTTAAAGAAGGCTTCCAATCGCATCATCGGTGTGGAACAGCTAGATCTATTTGACAAGGATCAATGCATATTTCCTCCAGGTCACGAGATGTAAACAGTGGTAGGGCACGTGATTGTTGCCGAAGATTGTGGGTTAGGGTTAGTATCAGGCTTAGGGGCTAGGTCTTGGGTTGGGGTTAGGTTTAAGAATTTGGAAGATTTAGGACTTAAAATGCCGGTCAACTAGCTTAGTGTCAGTCCTTAACCGGAGCTAATTGTAGACAGACAGCTTAAACATGCATTATGCAAGGGCAAAATCTGCTTATTACAAATCTTTCTTTAGGCCTGAAATGTTATCTAAATTATCAATTAGACATCAATTAACTTATCCAGACTATAATAAACTCTCGATGTCAAGGCTAGCCTTCGATGTTGGCTGGATTAGATTCCTATATGCCGCTAACGGCCATTGATAATTAAATCAAAAAAGTGGATAATCGAGACTATACTGTTTATATTAATGATTTTAGTAATGATGACCGAGACTATGCAAAAATTTCACCCGCTTCTTTCTCGGCTCATAGTGGATCAATTTGACTGAAATTTTCAGCAAATTACCTTTACCCTATCTAGTTTTTAACTATTATAGCGAGAACTGCCATCTCTTTATCTTATCTCCCATAATGTATCTTTAAGTTTACTGTGCAAGCCAGGTTGGTCACAAAAAGTGTGCATAGAGATTCGCGCGTGTACACATTGCGCTGCGAGTGCAAATTAAGTGTGACTTTGGAAATGACATTTATCAGATGTCAGTTTCAAAATAATCCCTTTCCCATCCGCTATATTGACAAAATCACAATCTAAACACGGAATCTTTTTTTTTGTTTTTGTTAGTGTGTGCATGTGTATTCTTTGATGTTACATTACTTGTAAACGTTCTCATAATCGAACGTACAGGCTGCTGTATTGTGGTGAACATAAATAATGATGCTAAGACTGGTATGTAATCTGTTTTATGATTGGTTCGCAGAAACAACTGAAATCATGGCAAATGAAATCATCAAGGGCAGATAATTTAAATTCGTGAACTGTCCCAGGGGTTGGTGGAGTAGAACGGAACGATATCATTAGGGATACCCCCATATATACGATGCTAACACCACATAATAAAAACACTGTTAATATTATAGAATACCATATATACGATGCTAACACCACATAATAAAAAAACTGTTAATATTATAGAATACCATATATACGATGCTAACACCACATAATAAAACACTGTTAATATTATAACATACCGTATATACGATGCTAACACCACATAATAAAAAAACTGTTAATATTATAGAATACCATATATACGATGCTAACACCACATAATAAAAACACTGTTAATATTATACAGTATATACGATGCTAACACCACATAATAAAAACACTGTTAATATTATAACATACAGTATATACGATGCTAACACCACATAATAAAAACACTGTTAATATTATAACATACAGTATATACGATGCTAACACCACATAATAAAAACACTGTTAATATTATAGAATACCATATATACGATGCTAACACCACATAATAAAACACTGTTAATATTATAACATACCGTATATACGATGCTAACACCACATAATAAAAAAACTGTTAATATTATAGAATACCATATATACGATGCTAACACCACATAATAAAAACACTGTTAATATTATACAGTATATACGATGCTAACACCACATAATAAAAACACTGTTAATATTATAACATACCGTATATACGATGCTAATACCACATAATAAAAACACTGTTAATATTTTAACATATCGTATATACAATGCTAACATCATATAATAAAAACACTGTTAATATTATACAGTATATACGATGCTAACACCACATGATAAAAACATTGTTAATATTATAACATATCGTATATACGATGCTAACACCATATAATAAAAACACTGTTAATATTATGATCTACCGTATATACGATGCTAACACCATATAATAAAAACATTGTTTATATTATAACATATCGTATGCGATGCTAACACCACAAAATAAAAACACTGTCAATATTATAAAGTGTCGTATATACGATGCTAACACCACATAATAAATAAAAAACGCTGTTGATATTATAACATATCGTATATACGATGCTAACACCACATAATAAAAACATTGTTAATATTATAACATATCGTATATACGATGCTAACACCACATAATAAAAACATTGTTAATATTATAACATACCGTATATACGATGCTAACACCACATAATAAAAACACTGTTAATTTTATAACATACCGTATATACGATGCTAACACCACATAATAAAAACATTGTTAATATTATAACATACCGTATATACGATGCTAACACCACATAATAAAAATACTGTTATATTATAACATACCGTTGATATTCCCATTATTACTCTTAACGTAACAACAACCTCGATTCTATATCTCAGACTCAGTGGTGTCAGTCCATTCGTTATAACGGCTATTCCCATGGCCAATAGGACGACCAGTTTAGGTCCACACCTTTGAGAAATCAATCCCCCGAGTAACGGCGTGATCAGGTAACCATAGAAATACGATGACAGTAAGATGCCTCGCATTTCGTTTGGGACCATGCTGCTTGGTCTAACATACTTAAATAGATAATGCAAATTCTTTAAACAATGAAATGAAATGAAATGGGGTTTAACATCCTACTGTTCTGCTCCGAACTGGGCTAATGAAGACGGGCATACGCCATACAGTGTGCTATGAGGGAAATTTTGCCAGGACAGCGGCACTATGGCCTACTTTTATATCGAATTCCAACTGTCAAGGGATCTTTTACGTGTACGCCAATGTTTACACGGGACTTCGGTTTTTCGCCCCAATCCGAACGACTAGACAGCTGTCCTTGTCAGCTTTAAACAAACTGCATGCTAAGATGTTATTGCATTAAAAATAACTGAATTTTACGGGGTAAACCCTGAAACCACACAAGGGCGTGATATTGGGTAGCATTGGGTAAATCGTCCCGCTGTAGCTGGGAGCTAATGTCAAAATGGGGTGGGGCGTGATAGAATCTGTATGACATCAATAAGCAGTATACGTGTCGCTTATAACCACTTTGGTATGCTTAAGAGCCATAATAAAATGCGGAACTTGAAAATCAAGCCTATGGTTGTATGGGGGGCTTCCAATGTAGTCGAATCAATATAGGACTTCGGGGCCTGCCGGGCCAATTTTTTAAGCTGAATTGTTAAAAGATAGGTTGCCAGGCAACGATATATACGCCCACGACACCTAAATCGTCCGGGCGCTGGAATTTACAAGACAATTCCATAAACACTGTAAAATGCATAGTGTGTAGAACCTATCCGGGAGTATTTATTAACTGGGTCTTTTGTGAGTATGACCTCATATCACGTAGAAGGGGTTAATTGTAGTTAGTAATGATGGAAACTCGTGAGAAATATACATCTTGTCAGTGGTCGCTTAAACCCGTTAGTACTTGCACTGTACGTCAAGAGTCCTATAAATGGTCAGTAATATTCATAAGTTGAGTATTTAAGTTAATTGTTGAGTATTCCTTACTTGCATATTAGTAAGTGCTGGGGGACTGCACCATACATAATTTACACAAAAACAAATATACGGACAAGCAGTAATCACAAACAAACGAACAATTCAAAATAAGTATTCCTTACTTGTGGCAGTATGTAAAAATAGCGCGAGTGATTAAATAAGCATAGTCCGAACAGATTACTAGTCAGACGGATGCGGGAGTAATTGGCAATAGCGTCACTTATTAAGAAAACGTCACTATAAAGACTACCGTTCACCATCTAGGTCAAACCGACAGTTTTCTTTAATGGCCGTCAGTAGAGCGTGAAATCATTAACTATATAAATTACCGGGGAGTATTGTTATAAATGATTAGTATCGTCTAAATTGTAACTTTTCCGTTAAATCGTCACTACATCATGAATTATTTATTAATCATTTATTAATATTCTTGAATCGGGGGAAATGAATGCCAGTGAACAACAGGACTATTTGTTGCGATTTTGATCACCGACGTAGTGTGTAAGAGACAACCGAACGGGTGCTTCAACCAGAATATGGCGCAATGCGTATTGTTATGTTATTTATAGTTTATATTTATATCTATTCCCGTCACATGCGGATTGACACATGTTTTAGAGCAGTTGTATGGAATAAATTTGGAATCAACACTAATGGTTTAACCAAAAAATACGGTGACGTTCATCAAGCATCAACTAAATTTCATTTAGACCCTCTGGACACGCTCTGCTCACTGTGGAAGCAGCGTCGTGGGCAAGTCTGATTTCGATCACCAACCCCGAAATTTGAGCCAAGATGGCCACACCTACTGAAGCACACAGCGAATATTTGTCACAAAATGATTCAAATGATCAGACACAGACGGATCTCGATTTGCGGTGAACCATTTGATAATGAACTGCCCATCGTCATTCCGAAAATAACGGAAAGATAATGGGTATTGGAGGCCGTCAATAATGAGCCGATTAATAACCTAAGAGAGAGAAAGAGAGAGGGAGAGGGAGAGAGAGAGAGAGGGAGAGGGGGGTTAACGTCCACTCGACACAAACTAGGCCATTTCGGGACTAACGTTGGTTTAATTTTATTTCAATTGTTCGTTCGCGCGTAGGGGTCTTTGGCAGTGGGAGGAAACTGGGGGACCCGGAGAAAACCCACGAGGCTGGAAAGTTCAATAATGAGTGGGGATGACAATTTCAATGGCAGAGAATTTAGGACAGAATAAAACTTGGTATTTAATTATGACTAAGTTCGACAATGAGCATTTTTTGCTTAGGTTAGACAGAGTGGTGGACAATTTCATGTGTAGATGCTTTATAAAAAAATGTTAGATGTGCAAGTAATTAATGAGTGTCATCTATTTAGGGACCTCAGCCTTACTTTTGATTTGTAAAATACAACTAGATAAATGCCCAGTCGTCACTCGCCCTGTCTTGATATGTCCAGAAAATAGTTATTGCAAGTTTTACTGTTGTAACAGTGGTCACCGATCTTATCTGCTGTAACGGACCGTCTACAGACCATGTAGAAGACAACGGTTCGCAAAAATGAATTATGGCACCACTGACCATCTGTATGTACCTCGATACAGACTCCTCCACTTTTTAAGTGATTTGTATATATTTTCGTCTATTGTAAATTATTGTGATGTGTTATTTAATGCATCAGTCTATATCTTTTCTAATATATTTTCTATGAAGGGCAGGATGTTAGAATGGCTATTATAGCCTAATATTCAACCCTTCTCAAATAAAGTCATTATTATTATTATTATTATTATTATTATTAATACACTGGTTTTGATAACTTGCTAAAATTGTCGCACGTTAAATATGTGCATAAGCTAGATAACCAGGATATACCCTAGAAAGCACCATTTGCTTGGAGAAAACCCTGCCGGACCGCACTCCCCCTGCTTTCCACCCTCACGAAATATGGATCAGTCTGTCCCTAGTATCATATAGACTGGTAGTACCCACAGGTTCATTTCTGTCTTGTGAACTTGTGAAATTAATAATATATACGTGTGGTTACTATCGGTCTAGATGATACCAGATACGAACCGTGAGCCGAGTGTCCTGAAACTGGTCTTGAGAGGCGTTCCCACTCTTTTGGGATCTGGTGGGGTTCTCTCCTCCTGGTGCGAAACTTCGTTTGAAAAACTGAGTTTAAATGATGTTTTCTATGGTATGCCCTGATGTTTTTAGCGTAGGCACAAAATTAATGTCTGAAAATCTTATCGGAAATCAATTTTTGAACCGAGTATTGCATTAAGTATTCCCGAAAATCCTGTCTGTAGGGTTCACAAGGTTCTACAAACTGAAAAAAGGATTTTTACTCTGGAAGTAATTCTACTAATTTAAATAATCCATATACATTTCATACATATCGGATGATAACTTTTTGCCATTCGAACGTTCACACGGGTCAACACAGTAAAACAAGGACCATAACTCTAGAAGTAATCGACGGAAATTGCTGACATTCAAAAGACTTCTTCGTTTCACTAATTTAAATGATACTTATAAATTTCATACATATCGGATTATAACGTTCGTCATTCGAGCGTTCACAAGGTTCAATAAAGTTGTAGACCGACGGACGTACGCACGTGCGTATGTACGGACGGGGGGCGACGGCAATATACGACCACATTTCCACATGGGCGTATAAAAACGCTTTCGGGTAGAATCTCAAAACGCGTTTATCTCGGTAATGCCTGCTTATATGTATGAAAAAAACTTTGTATACAATATAATTTTAACACCCTCACACCCCATGTAAATGTAGCCAATTCACAGACAATAGCAAAGCACTGGTATCTCTTTAAAGGCGATCAATCGTGGGGTTGCTCTTAACTAAACAGAATGATGCTATAGTATACAATTATTTAGAATGGAAGCTTACCACTTGTGTACTGTTGAGTTCCTCCGAGAGTATACCGCTGTAATTTTGAGATAAGTTTTGAAGTTGTCTCTGGTATTCAACGTTCTCTATACAAACCAAAGCCATGGCGATACAAACTCTCAAGGCGAACATAGCCAAGGTACACGTGCCACAGAGAAAAGCAATCTGCCATCGACATGATATGTAGAGTCGTAAACCTGTCTCTGGAGCCTTTATTATACCAGTATCACGCACCGAATTCGAACTGAGGTGACCATCATCTGAATTCCCCAAAGCTAAGAGACACCATATACAGAAAAAAGAAGATTAAAGTCATGAATCTTTTCCAAAAAATGTGTATAGCCATATTGTTTGCGTGGGTGTTTAAACGACGTTCTGCTCTGGCTGGACTAACGAAGACGCCATACAGTGTGCTATAAGGGAAATTTTGCCCGGAAAGCGGCGCTACGGCCTACTCTGATACTGAATTCCAACGTCGATTCGACACAAACTAGGCCATTTCGGGACTAACATATGGTTTAATTTTATTTCAATAATTCGCTTGCGCGTAGGGGTCTTTAGGAGTGGGAGGAAACCGGAAGGGTTCGGAGAAAACCCACGAGGTTGGACTGGCGACCCTATTCCTTGTCATGTACAACCGGGGATTCGAAACCACGCCAGTTGACTCAATGACAGGCCTTATTATACAGCGCGCACGTGCTAACCATTCGGCCATCCAACCCCCCGCCGCAGTTGATAATAGTAAGGGTAGGTGGACCACACCAAAATCCACAATGGATGCGGGGGAAGCCGTAAGCAATCAACTAAAAATAAATAGCTAAAGATAATAATAGAAATGAGAGACATCGTAAAGCTTACAAAAAACAGCGGTTGCCATGTCCACATTTTGCAAGAGATGGATAGAGAAAAATCAGGGGCCATAATCCAGTAAGTTATTGTCTGAAATGCGCGAATATGGAAAGGAACTGGGATCTTTGGGATATAAACATATATTTAAGTTTCGTCAAAATCGGACAAGAGAGATAGAGAGAGAGAAATGGGGTTTAACGTCCACTCGACACAAACTAGGTCATTTCGGGACTAACATATGGTTTAATTTTATTTCAATAATTCGCTTGCGCATAGGGGTCTTTAGCAGTGGGAGAAAACCGGAGGACCCGGAGAAAACCAACGAGGTTGGACAGGCGACCCTACTCCTTGTCACGTACAACCGGGGATTCGAAACCACGCCAATTGACTCAATGGCAGGCCTTATGATAAAACACGCTAACCATTTGGCCATCCCCCCCCCCCACACACACACACACACACACACACACACCAAAAAAAAAATCGGACAAACATTGTCACCTCCAGAGTGTCCATAATCTCCGTATTACATACTTTTACACCATTTGCGTACAAAGAGCGACAATTTCGTTTCGATTTTACCGAAATTCGACCCAACCTTCATTATGGTGTAACGGTTTTTAAAATCGGGTAAAAACTGTGACCTCTAGAGGGTCCACAAGCTAAAAATGCGATTTTTTTTTACAATCATAGGCCATAATCCAGGAAGTTATGGCTTGATATGCGTGACTATCAACACGAACCTAGATCGTAGAGATATAAACATATATTTTAAGTTTCATTAAAATCGGATACAAATTGTGACATCTAGAGGGTATACAGGTTTAGTATCATATACTTTTACACTATTAGCGTTCTTGGAGCGATCATTTTGTCGGGCAAATTCAGTCGTCTGGCAGTATGGTTCCGATCTTCACGAAATTCGTATTCAACCATCATTATGGTGTAACGGTGATATATTTAAACCTTTTTGTTTAGTTGTTATTTTAAATTGAATAAAAATTGTGACCTCTAGAAGAACCATAAACTACAAACGGGATGTTTTGTATAATCAGGGGCCATAATCCATGAAGTTATTGTTCTCTATGCGCGAATATCGAAGGGAACCGAGATCTTTGGGTTATAAACATACATTTCAAAGCTCTTCAAAATCAGATACATGCCAATATAGAAAGAAATCGAAATCTTTTGGAGATAGACCTATATTTTAAGTTCGCCAAAATCGGAAAACAAATGTGACTTGTACAGTGTTCACAAAAAAAATGTGGACAGACGGACAGGGTCGACGACAATGTACATCCACATCAAAAAAGGCTTAGTTTTGTGTTAAACACCCTTAAAATTCTCTGCCTTAGGTCCGAACAACTAACTCAATATATGTGATACGTTTTCTAACAACTGAAACCCGTCAGCCTTCATCTGGAAATGGAGACCGGTGTCCCGAGCTGTATTATGCGGTGTCTGGATAAAAATAATGCGTAGGTGAAATTTACCTTTCGTTATCAAGTACAGCACATTGGTCATTCATTATATAGACCTCTAAAGGAACGGGATTCGATTATCGGGTCACCCAACGAAAAAACTGACCCGAAATCTTAAAAGGGTTACGTGTCCGGATAAGCAGTTTTGAAGTTTTGAGACAAAGTAAATACACCATCCCAATATATTTTGGCTCTTAAATTTCCTACGTACTCAGATTTTTATTTTTGAGACTCTGTTCAAATCGGGATAGTCCCTTTAACGTCCTACTGTTCTGCTCCGAACTGGGATAATGAAGACGGGCATACGCCAGTGTGCTATGAGGGAAATTTTGCCCGGACAGCGGCACTACGGCCTACTCTTCTACCGAATTCCACGAAAATGTGTACACGGGACCTCGGTCAGATGAAAGACAATACATATAAAGGATTAGTGAGGCCTACCTTGTACAGGAAGTTGAAACGACTTTTTCGTCATGATATTGTATCATATATAACAAGTAGAATATACTACAGATAACACGGGGTAACTTTATGCTGATTCATTTACATATCTTAATTTGTACGTGTACACGCATTTCATTAAAAAGGGGTAGGCGAAAGTGAAAAACAAATTTATGATATCTTTTTCTACGTGAGCATAACGCTTGCTCACTTTAAACAGGGAGAGGTCGATCTGTGTACTCGCTCACGTGCACGTTGTAGAACGTTCCACGGGTGGATACGCCGCTCTCTGCGTAACAGGTCGATCCGTGTACTTGCTCACGTGCACGTTGTAAAACGTTTCACGGGTGGATACGCCCCTCTCTGCGTAAAATTACCATCATGCCATAATGCGTGGCATAGACCTGCCTTCATCAGTTCAGTTAATTCAGAAAAGTAACCCGTTAAATCCTTTTTCGTTTTCGTTTTATTTCTTCACAAATCAAGCAACATGATTATTGAAGAATTAATACGTTCATCGGGTACAGATACCGGTGGGAGGGGGGGGGGCTGGATAAATCTTACGAGATAGGACAGGCTATCGTTGAAAGCGGACAGGCTATCGTTGAAAGCGGACAGGCTATCGTTGAAAGCGGACACCCACAGAGCACTCGACCACCAATCCCTAGTAGACAAGAAACATAACATAGAACGTCAGGAACCGATTCGACTGGGTGAATTGTTGATCAAATATTGTTCAGGTTTCAGTATGACAGAACATTTGAATTCAAACCATGCTAAACCAATGCGTCACCAAAAACCGCCCTAGTTACCTTGCAGCCGGGGAAGCACTTAAAGCAAAAAGGGTTAGTGAGATATGTATAGTATACAATTCTCGGGGCTTAATAAACGTGTCCATGACCTACTGCAATGCCCTTGGGGGATTATATAAACCAAAAGGAATAGAAATGATGCAATCTGACAGTCCAACAAGATCTATACGCCAATCCTAGTCAGTTAATGTCCACTTGTGGGTGTGTCAATAGATTATACAACTAACTTAGAACGTATTCCCAACCAATTATTCATTAGACCTCAAGATCTGTAAGCAAAAATCTTTTAGCCATAAAATCACATATAGCCTAAGAATGACAGTAATTTTTATACAGGTCTACATAAATATACATGGATATTTTGACTTCTAAAACAATGCATGTGTAATATTTAACATTGGTTATCATTAGCACTAATTAAATGATTCTTGTACATACATTTCTTTTTGCAAAGTACTTATTTAAGTACAGAATGTAAAACTGGTTTATAATGAAACAAGAGAACTTCTTTATTAGATACCAACCGTAATTAATATACATAAGAACATATGATTTATGTAATTAATATACATTATACCTTATGATTCAAGTTTATATGCATTTATTTTATCACACTCTATAGGCTATTAACGAGGATTCTTCCAAGATCAGAAACAAATGAGAAATAAGCTTTGGGTGGTATCATAAGAAAATTGTATTCTTTTAATGATGTTACTATTACACTATTTATCAGGCCTAACTTCAATTACACATACAACACTTTATTTATAAGGCCTAACTTCAATTTTATCTGTAATGAGCTTTATTGAGACTTGGATAGCCATGGCCAGATTATGGTTGCATGGGCTGTAATTCAAACAGGTGCCCTTCCATAGAGATGATTACTAGTGTCTTTTAAGTTGAGCACATTGTTTTGTGAAAATATAATAATTATATTAACTGCGACTTTATTGGGTTCAAATTCAAATTATGCAATCAAAGAAGGAATTATTTGGCATAAGTGTATTAATATTGAAGCAAACATTTGCACACTGGCTGGAAGTTCACACGTTCTGTCCCATACACACCACACTGCTGACAGTTTGTATTCCTTTCCTTATCTAGGTATGACATTTATCACACTAACAATTTGTTTTCCCCCACCCCTCCCCCTTAATAAGTAACTCTTGATATCTTCTCCAATTAGATTTCTATCTTAATCTTTAGATCCTCAAATCTATGCCACTGTTGATTTCTATCTGGATCTTTAGATCCTAAAATCTATACAATGAGATGTATACTAGTTATCCACACAAACTAATTCACTGATAAATATGGCTGAATTAGTCACATTATGATTATTTTGACCAATATGAGAAAACAAAGTTTATGCAGTTTGTTTTGATTTTCCTCTCAATGAATCCTCGAAAGCTTGAATAGATAATTCTAATTCTGCTTTATTCTCGGCATCATTCTGACAATATGTCTGAAACAAAAGAAGATTTATATATGAATTAGAAATGCAATGAAATGGCTTTTAATGGCACGTCAGCACAAATCTAGCTATATTGCATTAGAAAATATTTTTTTTATAATTTTCTGGGGCCTGTTTCACGAAATTTTAACTAAAGATAAAATCCAAATTTAAGTAGATACTTCAATTTTGATTGGCTAAGCACTTAAATCAATCTAATATTATCCAATCAAATTACTAAAATTTCTTTGACAGTGGTTGGCAACTATAGTCTTTATAGAGCCACTGTAAAGATATGATAAAGGAATGGAATAGAATTCAATTCGAAATGGAGTTTAACGTCCTACTGTTCTGCTCCAACTGGGCTAATGAATATGGGTATACGCTAGGAAATTAAAAAAATAATGACCAGTAATTCGGTACTTACCAGCTTGTGTTTGTAAAGGGAAGAAGGTTTTTATCCTTATTTATTTTATAGAGATTTCAGAGGGGAGATAAGTGAAAAAAAATCTTGATATTGTTGAAAATGAAATGAAATGGGGTTAAATGTCCTACTGTTCTGCTTTGAAATGGGCTAACGAAGATGGGCATACGCCATACAGTGCGCTATGAGGGAAATTTTGCCTAGACAGTGGCACTACGACCTACTCTTAGTATGGAATAGAATAGAGTAGAGTTTGAAGTCTCCTCAACACAATACTTTGGTCCCTTTAAAACGAACATACAACAACTGCAACAAAAATCAAAAACTTCCATTTTCACTTTTGACAGTGTATCTCTTTGCGAGTGAAATGGGTCCGTCAGATAAGCCACCCATATGAACTGTTTATGTTCATGTGTAGGTAATTAGCCTGTTATTAACATACACTGGTTACAGTGCATTTCAGCAGTTTTGTATTGTTTCTGAATATCCCCTACTTTTTTTGAAGGGTATATATGGTTAGCTGTGCAATATGTGGTAGAATTTTACTTGGGACAGTTAAATTCTGTTTACCCTCATTTCATCTCCAACTGTTTATAGCAATTCATTTTTGAGAAATGAAGTTTAAAAAAAAACAAAAACATTTATTGTGACTTAAATTTGTAGAAATACATAAATACCTTCACACGTTCTATATCCTGTTTATCTTCCATATTTATCGCTGTTTTACTTGAAGGATGAAGTATTACATATAAATTAACAACATCAATACAATCATCCATTCTGAAAACAAAATAAAGAAAATAAAATAAAAATTAAATAATAAGATTTTCCCCATCACTAATCCGATGATCAAACAATTAAAGATACATTATGGAAGATTAGATAAAGAGCTGACAGTTCTCACTATAATAGTTAAAAACTAGATAATGTAAAGAGGATATGATGAAAATTTCAGTCAGATTGCTTCAATCTAAGCCTGGAAAACATTATTTTGAAATCACCGTAGCCTCGATTGTCATTGTTACTGCTGTCGCTATAAACAAAATCTCTATTTTCCATTTTTGTGTTTAATCATCAAGGAGCGTTGAACAGCAGATTGGATTTAAATCCAATGAAAATTGGACAGATAAGATGGCAGCAAGAGTTGATTGTGGTCTTTTCATGTTAATAAATGTCTAATAAATAGTTTATATAACATTTCATACCTAAACAAAGACTTGCAATAGGCAAATTTAGCTCTTGCATAATCAAAGAGATCTATTCCCTTTTAGTCTTAAAATGGTTAAATTATGATGTCCTAAATGCCTTGTAACATTATGACTTAATTTGATTTTAAATGAAACATAGGCTAAAGAGCATAATTTTTTTTGCAACCTGGCGGATGAAGATGGACATGTACTCAGTGCAGTGTGCTTTGAGGGCAATTTTGTCTGGGCAGTGGCATTTCTGACTGTTCTTCCATCAAATTCAGACTATTAAGGGTTCTTTTATTTGCATGGGTGGATCATGTTTTTTTTTGGGGGGGGGGGTCGGTCCCATTGACCCTCCATCATGCACCACTGACAAGAGTAGACCAACTGGGGTTTATTGTCCACTAGACACAAACTAGGTCACTTTGGGACTAACATATGGTTCTATTTTATTACAATAATTCACTTGTGCACGTAAAAGATCCCTTGGCAGTTGGAATTCGATATAAGAGTAGGCCGTAGTGCCGCTGTCCGGGCAAAATTTCCCTCATAGCACACTGTATGGCGTATGCCCGTCTTCATTAGCCCAGGTTAGGAGCAGAACAGTAGGACGTTAAACCCCATTTCATTTTCTCACTTAATTAGAACTAAAGTTATCATGACCCAAAGCATCAACCAATAAAATTGCTTATCTCTGCTTACCCTGAGCAGACAATGCTCATCTTCGAACTCCATCAAGGCATTCACCTAATAAACAACTACACCAAGTTTGAACATTCTAGCTCAATTAGAAAGAGAGTTATTGTGTCCCAAAAAGTGTGACAGACAGACGAACGGATGGACAGACAGACGAACCCATTTTAATAGTCCCCTGTTTTCTGCGAAAGGTGGGGGACAAATATTAAGGTAGTAATTACTTACAATCCTTGGTGTATCATATCTACTAACAATAAATCTATCTTCTTATTCCACGTCAGGTAAAACGTCATCGGTCCAAAATGTCTGGTCGATCTCAACACATCAAAGTTTCTATTTTTGTTTATATGTTCATATGTTTTATGTGTTACCTGGAAAAAAGCACAATATGATTTATGTAAGGAAACAGAAATGAAATGAAATGGGGTTTAACAATCTACTGTTCTGCTCCGAACTGGGCTAATGAAGACGGGCATTCACAATACAGTGTGCTATGAGGGGAAATTTTCCCTGGACAGCGGCACTACGGCCTACTCTTATATCGAATTCCAACTGTCAAGGGATCTTTTACGTGCATGCCAATGTATACGCGGAACCTCGGTTTTTCGTCTCATCCGAATGACTAGACGGCTGCCCTTGTCAGGCCCTCCAGTATGGTAACAGAGAGAAACATCCATGCCACACAAGTTAGGTTATTTCATATACAAGCCTGGAGTGCTGGACTGAACGCACCTGTCACAAACTTCTTCAAGTACAGATTATCACACGTCTATATATACAAGCCTGGACATAAGAGACACAAAATGAAATGGGGTTTAACGTCTTACTGTTCTGATCAGACTGGGCTCTTGAAGAAGGGCATACAGATCTTTTACGTGCATGTCAATGTGTAAACCTAAGGTTGTTTGATTGTAAATTACTTGACGACCCAAACGTACCTGAGGTCGTTGGATTGTAAATTACTTAACCACCCAAACCTACCTGAGGTCATTCGATTATAAATTACTTGACCACCCAAACCTACCTGACGTTACAATGGATTATATAATTCCTACATTATTCAACAATCGTTGTACTTACTCTGATATAATCTGGATTGTCTGGTTCAAATTGAACACAAGCTCTGTCTAACATATAGATATATTTATCATCATTTAATACCCTCTGTTAAAAAATAATACAAAAACATTGTTAAAGATACATTATGTATGTGGTAGACTAACGTCACCTGGCCTATGTTACTCCCCGGTCCGAGCTACCCCTATACCCCAAATTTCAGACTCGGGGCAGACCTAGTGTAGCCGCCAACCCCGAACAGACAGACAGACAGACAAACGACAGTCACAAATATTAGTATAGATTTAGATAAAGAGATCGCCATTCTTGCTATAATATAGTTCAAAAACAGATCATGCAAAATGAATATATTGAAAATTGCATTCAAATACTCTATAGCAAGTGAAGATATTTGCCTTTGAAGGTTTGACAAGATGTGTACATTGATTGTAACCACCGTACTTGTTGTTTGAAGCTAAGTCTTGCTTCTTCATTTTTTCAATTAAATCAAAATATGGCTGAACCGTTCTAATCTACTTAATATCGGAGATATCCGATGGCATCGATTGTCATTGTTACCACTGTCGCTATAATAAACAAAATCTCTTTTTTCCATTTTTACGTTTAATCATCAAGGAGCGTTGAACAGCAGATCGGATTCAAATCCAATGAAAATCGGACATATAAGATGGCATCGAGAGTTGATTATGATCTTTTCATGTTAATAAATGTTTAGCATTTAAGTCCTAAAAAAAGACCTGAAAGAGGCAGATTCAGCTCTTAAATAATCCATGTTAAAACAAGAGAAATGAAATGGGGTTTAGCTAGCACCCTACTTATCAGCTCCACACAAAGTACAATGAAGATAGGAATAAGCCATACAGTGTGCTATGAGGGAAATTTTGTCCTGGCAGCAGAACAAGTGCCTACTCTTATATCGAATTCCAACTGTCAAGAGCTTTTTTACTTCACGTCAAGGTGTATACGGGACCTCGGTTTTTTGTCCAATCAGAAGGAATTCATCATGACCATACGCCGTTCCTTGTCAGACACTTACAAAGGGAAAACCAATTAAGGTTGTATATCTGATTGTTGGACAATTTTACTGTATACTCACAATTTACCAACTTAACTACAAGAGCGGCATGTACCATACACAGAGAAATTGGAATTATCTCGGGACAAACATATGGTGTAATACGAAATAAATAGATGACACATATTAAATGTACGTTTATCTTTTTCAAAAGTATCAATCAATCGAACTGATTATCAACTATACACTAAGTTTCATCACTCTCTATCAGATAGAATCAACCTAATGAACATCAACATCAAGTTTAAACATTTTACCTCAATTAAAACCAGAGTTGTTATGTTCCAAAGTCTTGACCAATCAAATTGTTTATCGCTCTGCTTACCCTCAGGAGAAAATGTTCATTATCGAACTTAGTCAAGGTATTGATGTGATGAAACTATACACCAAGTTTCATCACTCTCATTTAATTAGAACTGAAGTTATCTTATCCCAAAGCATCAACCAATCAAATTGCTTATCTCTGCTTACCCGAAGTAGAAAATGCTAATCTTCGAACTCCATCAAGGCATCAACCTAATAAACACTTAAACCAAGTTTGAAAATTCTAGCTCAATTAGAAGGAGAGTTATTGTGTCCCAAAAAGTGTGACGGACAGATGGACGAACAAACGGAAAGACCAGCTGACCACTTTATTTAAAAAGACTTTAGATAGAAAATTTTTTAATTGATAGACAAATTACCATACCTCTAAATGTTCATCATCAAACATCTTAGGTGCCATATACACTTGACCTGTAGTGGGATTGTAGACTTGATTAACACGGTCTCTTTCATCCCAATCAGCTTTCCGCAATGTTCCGTCTGTATCACGAACAACTATTAAACGTTCCTATAACCCCAAACAAATATAAGAAATATATTAACCAATTTTAGTATCAACGGTGATTTATTCTGAATTCTATCTATAGTTTATTGTTACATATGAATTCTACAAAATTAAAGGGGCATTATGTGAGATTAGATGAAGAGCTGACAGTTCTCCCTATAGTAGTTAAAAACTAGATAATGTAAAGGAAATATGCTGAAAATTCCAGTAAAATTACTCCACTCGAACCGAGATTATACTAAAGTCAGTACAATAAAAAAAACATAGTCTCAACTCTAGACTCTCGAGTATCCATTTTTTGATTAAATCATCAATGAGCGTTGAGCAGAAAATCAGATTCAAATCCAGGGAAAATCTGGCTTTTGTCAAGCACAGATTCATCTTTTTATGGATAGTTTAATTCATAACCAGCACTTAAAATTAACGCATGGCAATGGTTAGCGAGTAGAATTTATGATGACACGGTTGACGGTCAAGAGGCAAAATGTGCATCTGGTTATTACATGTATGTCCTTGAATAAGATATTATCCCTATATTCCAGCTTATTGACAGGATGGTGTATCAAAGATGGCTATACGGCCGATTATACGCTGTCCATTGTCAGGTCATCTTGTCTTGTCATTAACAAGAAAAATATAACGACTTGATAATCATTTTTGATATGTTGCTCCTATTTAAAGTCTCAGAGAGAGAGAGAGAGAGAGAGGGAGGGATACAAACTAGTAGGGAATCGAAACTACATCACTTGACGAGGTTGGATAAGCGACCCTATTCCTTGTCACATTCAAGCGTGGAATCAAAACCGCACCACTTGACGCAATGACAGATCTTATGGTCTAACATGCATGTGTTAAATTACCTGGCCACCCAAACAGCAATTAAAGATCATTACTACGACATGAAATGAAAACAAACTAAATTACATACCTTGTTTGATAAACCAAAAGAAATATCAGTGAAGACATATTTACTGGAATCAAATCCCTCTAAATCTGGGTCTTTAGATAATATATCGTGTATAGGTTTCCTAGGCAACATAAATGGAGGCATTTGAAGTTTCCATTCAGCTTCCTTTTTAGCCTTTTCCTCTGCCTTTAAAATAAACAAGCCAACAGTGAGGCTGATGTTCCCCGCCGAAATCCCCAAATAAATAGATGACACGTACATATTAATTAATCGCACATCTATTTTTTTTCAAAAGTATCGAGCAATCAAACTGATTATCAACTATACACTAAGTTTCATCACTCTCTATCAGATAGAATCAAAGTTATCTTGTCCCAAAGCATCGAACAAAGAAATTGCTTATCTCTGCTTAGCTTTAGCTCGATATGTTAATCACTGAACTCAAGTCAAAACGAACATCCACATCAAGTTTAAACAGTCTACCTCAATTAGAAGCAGAGTTGTTATGTTCCTAGGTCTTGACCAATCAAAATGCTTATTGCTCCTTAGCCTAAGCAGACAATTCTCATCATCGAACTTAGTCAAGGTATTGATGTAATGAAACTATACACCAAGTTTCATCACTCTCACTTAATTAGAACTAAAGTTATCGTGTCCCAAAGCATCAACCAATGCTCATCTTCGCACTCTATCAAGGCATTGACCTCATAAACAACTACACCAAGTATGAACATTTTAGCTCAATTAGAAGGAGAGTTATTGTGTTCCAAAGTCTCGGCCAATCAAATTGCTTATTGCTCTGCTTACCCTGAGCAGAAAATGCTCATTATCAAACTTAGTCAAGGTATTGATGTAATGAAACTATACTCCAAGTTTCATCACTCTCACTTAATTAGAACTAAAGTTATCGTGTCCCAAAGCATCAACCAATCAAATTGCTTATCTCTGCTTACCCTAAGCAGAAAATGTTCATCTTCGAACTCCATCACGGCATTGACCTAATAAACACCTACACCAAGTTTGAACATTCTAGGTCAATTAGAAGGAGAGTTATTGTGTCCCAAAAAGTGTGACGGACAGACGGACGGACGGACAGACAGACAGACCAACTCATTTTAATAGTCCCCTGCTTTCTTCGAAAGGAAGGGGACAATTAATTATCATGGATGGGAATTAGAATTAATCACAGAGAGAGAGAGCGAGAGAGAGAGAGAGAGAGAGAGAGAGAGAGAGAGAGCAAGAGAGAGAGAGAGAGAGCGAGAGAGAGGGGGGTTTATTAAACACTGAACACTTTGGGACTAACATATAGTTCTATTTTATTTCAATAATTCACTTGTGGGTAGAAGATAGAGAGATGGGGTTTAATGTCCACTCGACACAAACTAGGCCATTTCGGGACTACATACCATGCAATATTATTTCAATAATTCGTTTGCACATACATGTAGTGGGTCTTTAGCAGTGGGAAGACACCAGAGACAACTCTACTCCTTGTCATGTATAAGCAGAGAATCAAAACATGAAACTTTATTCAATGACACCACTTATGATCCAACGTACAGATGTACGAGTAGAACCCCTCGGCCACAAAACCCCCTATCAGAAATAAAGTATATTTGGTTCTGAACACTGGTAATTTTACTTATTTTATTACAAACTCAGAGTCCTCATTGGCACAGTGGAGCACTAACCAGGAGTTCCCAGGCTTCCATCCATGTGTGGGCGAGATTTACCAACCTGGGAAATAGGATTTTACATCCACTCAACACAAACTATGTCATTTCGGGACTAACACATGGTTCGATTTTATTTCAATAATTCACTTGCACGTAGGGGTCTTTAGCAGTGGGAGGAAACCTGGAAGACCCTGAGAAAATCCACAAAGTTGCACTGACTACCCTACTTCTTGCCATGTACATGTTGGGAATTGAAACTATACCTTTTGACATAATGACAGACCTTATGATTTCACTTGCACGTGTTAAACCACTAGATCACCCAAACCCCTCATTTTATTTCAATTTATTTAAAATTTCAAAACCTCTTGTGTTTCTTCCTCTGTTAATAATTTGTAGGTTGGTTTTTTTAAAGTAGATGATACCATATGAGAAACTTTTTCAACATTCAGTCCAGTTATTTTCTTCAATATACGCTGCACTTCTTGGGATCTGAACAGAACGAAGGGGTCTTTGTCATCTTTTCCGGTTTCTAAGAAAATGAAAATAAAAAAAAATATAAATGCATTTCAGATCTGATCGTTTATTTAAAATGATTAATAAACCACTGTATGAATAATTAAAATTAAGGTCAAGGCCCATTCATCCTCTTACGAAATGAAATGAAATGTGGTTTAATGTCCTACTGTTCTGCTCCGACTTGGCTCATGAAGACAGGCATACGCCATACATTTTGCTATGAGGGAAATTTTGCCCGGGCAGCGGCAATATGGCCTAATCTTATATTGAATTCCAACTGCCACATGCACACCAAAGAATACACAGGTCCTCGGTTTTTCGTCCCATCTGACCGACTAGATAACTGTCCTTATCAGGCCCTCCATTCTGCAATGAACATTCTTGGCCAATACAGGGATCGAACGTGCAACCTCCAGGCTTGCGAGCCAGTGTCTTACCCACTTAGCCACTGTGGCTCAAATCCTGCTTACAATACATAATTTGGAATAAATCAAAATAAGACTAATAGTAGTGATTATTGCCACAAATGTTACCATTAATATAGACCAAAGGTCTAAAGCATAGCACAGGGCTTGAGCAAAGCTCTTTTCAGGCAACACAGGAGCGTAACTAAAATTGGGCATGTCAACATAGTCCAAGTTATCTACACTCTATCAAATCTCGTCAAGCGAGATTATGCGTCTGATTAATGACGTCACATATAAATGACATCAATGAAAATTATTGTCACACATTGTTTTTTAAACAAAATTAATCAGTAATTTATCCAATACTCATACAATTTAAATTTAATTTAAAATCAATTTGGAAAAAAAAATTTGCATCATTTCAGAAACTTAATTATGAAGGTTTTGTATTTGACAATATAAATTAATCAGCTTCGCTCTAGACTAGGACTCACTCAAACAACGCCTGCATGTTCACACATTTCTGGCATTCAAAGTGGTTTGTGACTTTATTTTACAGTTTTCCAATTTCAAATGAAATGAAGTAAAATGGGGTTTAAAGTCCTACTGTTCTGCTTCGAACTGGGCTAATGAAGACGGGCAATAGCAATACAGTGTGTTATGAGGGAAATTTTGCCCGGACAGCAGCACTAGGGCCTACTCTTATATCGAATTCCAACTGTCACAGGATCTTTTACTTGCACGCCAATGTGTACACAGGACCTCGGTTTTTCGTCCCATACGAACAACTAAACAGATGTCCTTGTCAGGCCCTCCGTCCTGCATCACTGACAACGGAGAATCATGCCGGAAAATTTGAATGAACTTTATCAGCCAATGCAGGGATCGAACCCCCGACTTCCAGGGTAGCGAGTCAGCGTCTTCCGGTACCTACTTAGCACCGTGACCCCCAATTTCAAATGACATCACGCTGCACAGTATGTAGCTTTGACTTTGTCAACCATAAACATTCTTTCTTTTTTTTTCTTTTTTTTGAGATGAAATTCTATAAAGTGGTCTGCAAGGCCTTATTCCAGGTGAGTGTAAGGGAGTTATCTACCCTTACACTATACAGTCAGACAGTGTCAAAGTACCTCTCCTCTCTCTGGCTATTTATTAAATTCATGTGCTTAATTAACAATAATACAAAAATATATGTAACCTGTTGTAATGGCACTTGAGAGACAGCGCGTACATCGTGGTTTATGAAACGAAACTTGTCTCAGTAGTGCTGTGTAATTTGATTTTAACAGACAATACGATAACCTTCGACTGGAGGCTGCCATATTGGTTTCGTCCAAATTAAATGGAGTTAAATGCGAAACGAATAGAACATTAAGCGAATAAAAATATATTTCTTATAAAACACAAACAGTTCTTGGATTTTAAAGGGGGCAACTTTTCATTAACAAACTGTTTTGTTATAATTTGTTTTCTGTGCAGAGAAATATAATGTAATTCTTAAACAACGCAAACGATGGAAGGGAAATAACTCTATTTTATCAGCACTACTTTATATTTCTACATCAAATTGGTTATAAAATAGTACGTCATAATTATCAATAAATTCTGATACATAGGATTTTACTGTGTATATGATCAGTAGTATTGACATGGTTATTACTATTTACAATGATGCAATGGACCATTATTTAATTGTAGATTAGATAACGTCTAACGAAATACAATGTGTAGTGTTACGCTTTTCTAGGTAGTGAGTTGGTTCTTAACGGTTTCCAAGGTAAACGATTAAAAGGGTTAAAAGGTGGTTTCAAGAAACCCTTCAGAACTGTTAACCAACAAGTTGTCATGGCTCAAGGAGATCCTAAAAAATGGTCAATGCCAGGATGGCGTATAGAACAACGTTTTTCTCCGGGTGTTCTTATTGGAAATTGGTCCGAAGAACGTAATATTGTAAGTATTTAATAAATAGTATTTAGTAATAATAATAAATAATAGCCTTTCTATTTCTACCTGAAACAAACTTTTTTTGAAAAAAATCTAAAAATGTATTACCATGATCCAAAAGTGTATATATTATTGTGAAAAACAATTTAAAATTAAAAATTGTTGTTCTGTTTATTTTTCATAATTAGAAAATAAAATTTTTTTGGAGCTTATGTAGGCCTATTAAATCTAGTCTATTAGATGTATTACCATGATCCAAAAGTGTATATATTATTGTGAAAAACAATTTAAAATTAAAAATTGTTGTTCTGTTTATTTTTCATAATTAGAAAATAAAAAATTTTTGGAGCTTATGTAGGCTTATTAGTCTATTAGATTAATCTAATATTATTAAACTTAGAGAAGCAGAATAATATAAGCAAAATATCTGGGATTGAAAACATGAAATATCGTAAATTTAATCTGTATGTAGTACCGAATTCAGCACGATACTAGATTTTTCCGATCTGAGAAATATCTTTCTGTGTTTATACTCACAATTCTAACCCTAACCCTTCAGAATAGCTTTAGCCAAAATCCGCCGTTGTTACTGCATCAATTTGTACGTTTTACATGTAATTTATAAACCTAACCTAACCCTAGAGAAAGATATTTCTCAGATCGTACAAAGATCTAGTAGTGTGCCCGAATTCAAGCAAATCCAGACTGTAAAATTTGTAAAATAATTTCCCTAGATCCTAGAGTGTAATTTTGAAATAAATTGTTTAGAGCGATTAGGTCTTTTCCAATAAATCATGTGCAGTAAAGTCTATATATTGCCACTCCAGTGGATGCCAAATTTTGACAAATTTGCAGTTCATCATAATACTGAATGCTTGAACCAGTTTTGGGTTGATATTCTTTTATTTAGTAATTCAACTTTAAAGGAGCTAAGTCTCTTAACCCAATTACCGGCGGCCCAAGATAATATAACTCTAGGTTCAGGGCAACAACGCCACAATTTAGTGCAAAGCAGGAATTTTTGCAAGGAATTAATCTGCAATATGCGAATTGTATTCTGGCCTACATAAAAAAAGCTGATCATCAGGAAACATATTTTTCTTCTTTAGTTTCAACGCGGTAACAATTTACACAACAGTACCCACCGAACAGATTTCCGTAACTGGGGAGGTCATCGACCTGATGTGGTTATTCGACGTAATGCTATGATGAGATCAGATGGACTTGGACCAGAGACTTTATTCCATCACCATGGTAAAAAGTATTCTAATAACATGGTGTCGTGGTATGATGAACAGTATAACGGCAGATGGCACGAGAACTGTCTTCCAGAATTAAGGAACTGGAACGGTCATTGTTTGGCCTGGGTACCAGAAAAATCAGATCACCCGCTCCAAGGTATGTAGTTTATTTCAAATTAGTTAGAGGGGTTGGTTGGCTGAATGGTTATATTGCACATGCGCGTTGTATCATAAGGTCTGGTATTGAGTCAAGTGGTGTGGTTTTGATTCCTCGGTTGTACATGTATATTACAAGGAGTGGAGTCGCCTGACCAACCTTTTGGGTTTTCTCCAGGTCCTCCAGTTTCCTCCCACTGCTAAAGACCCCTATGTGCAAGCGAATTATTGAAATAACATTGAACCCTATGTTAGTCCCGAAATGACTTCTCTCTCTTTACAATATTGTAGTTTGTACGGGACTAACAGTCAACCAAATGATCTTCAGACTTCAGAGGCAATAATATTAAAATGTCTACCATTTCAAAATTAAAAGTAAATTTGAGAAAATTAATAATCATATCAATTTTATGTTTTATATTTTGATTATATTTAATATGACAGTTACTTGAGGCAGTTGAGGTAATTTTACCAAGATTTTTCTCAATTTTTACTACCAGTACTTAATTTTTTATAGGTTTTTTTTTTGTCTTAAATAGTTTATAGATATATTAGTCAAAGAAAATAGTTTTTATACCAAGTGGCAGTTTTAATCTTTTTGAGTCAATCTTAGTTATAGTTTAAAATATTACTGTAGTAAGATCCTTTAAGCTTTTAAATAAAACCCTAAATTAGATGTACAGTAGGCCTATTCATTACAGTTTAAAATATTACAGTAACTCGGCCCTTTAAGTTTCTATAGCAGACCCTTAATTACACCTATTCATTTATCCAATAAATATTTAATAGTTTCCCAAAAAACTTTCATCTAGTTAAAAAATAGATGTATCCATTAATCCAATATCACTGGTTTACATGTGTGGGGTTGGATGGCCGAATGGTTAGCATTTGCGCACTGTATCATAAGGTCTGTCATTGAGTCAACAGACGTGGTTTCGAATCCCCGGTTGTACGTGACAAGGAGTAGGGTTGCCTGTCCAACCTCGTGGGTTTTCTCTGGGTCCCCAGGTTTCCTCCCACTGCTAGAGACCCCTACACGCAAGCAAATTATTGAAATAAAATTAAACCATATGTTAGTCCCAAAATGACCTAGTCTGTCTCGAGTGGACGTTAAACTCCATTTCTCTCTCTCGCTTTAAATGTAATGTTTTAAAATTCTAAAGGAAACCCTTAGTTACTAGGTAGATGTATTGATTAATCCTATCATGTAATTATGGTTTAATCCAATCTGTATTAAGTGTTTCCCCACCAAACAATGATACAATGTTTATAGCAACACCAGAAGTTCATTAAAAGCATTATATATTAATCACTAATTAGGACTGGATTAACAGGGTTTATGATCCAACCAGGTTTAATTATAAAACTAGAACACCAAGTCTACTCTTCTTTAGAAATGATATCAAGTGTACCAATATAATGAATTTTTAATCAACATAAATTTTGATTAATCTTGTATAGTGTAATTTACGCAGTTGATAGTGCCAAAGCTTTGAATAATTCATTATAGTTGTTGCAACTCCCATCTGCATAACCCAGAGAAAGCAGACATGTGATACATGTATGTTAGAAAAAAATAATTTAAACTCTTTACAGAATAGTAACTTATTTACTTTCTATTGAACAGAATGATGAAGTGTATTTAATTTTTTTATGATTTTTTTTTATCTATATTTTATCTGTACCTGTACCCCGCTATTTTATTTTTTTATGATTTCTGATCTATATTTTATTTGTACCTGTACCATGTTATTTTATTTTTTTTAAATCCTATTATCTTGATTTACCAAATAGTTTAATTTTATTATTTTTTATGATTTTCTATCTATATTATATTGTTTTATATGGTGTACTCATAATCGTATATTTTCTTGTACAAGCGTCACAGAGCAGCTTTACACAAGCTGAATTTTGGCGCTATACAAGCAGGTCCGTAGGGAGGGGGTGAAGGGCAAGTGGATCAGCTCATTCAGCTGCCCCTTATGGGTGCCAAAGGCTTGATCAATGGGGCGCACAAACGGCATGCTTGGTGGTGTGCCCCATCCCGGAGGGGCGCCGATAATGCCGGGATTGGTGGGCTGCCCACGATGAGATCATGGGCGCCTATAATATAATTCGCGGGGCACCCTTAATGCCGTGTGAGATTGGTTAGACGCCCAACTTTTCGTTTTTCTCATAAATTATTATAGGTACGTTAAAGTTGTATTCCTTCCTTCAAATTTTTATAATGTTCATATCAAAATATAATATGCCAATATCGCAATTCAGTCTCAAAATTGAAATTTTCTGTCATTTTCAAGTGCAAATCCAATTTTCCAAAGTTTTTTTTTGGGGGGGGGGATGGAGAGGGCACCCTTGACCCCTCTCCGAAAAGGGAGGTGTGTCCACAGTACCGTTCGTCAAGTGTAGGTACATCGGCGCCTCCAGAAGCCCCATCGGTGCCCCCAGAAGCCTTTGCCCCCCCCCCCATCAGTATATAAGTTCAATAATTTATTTATATTTTGTTTTTTATCTTTAAAGATATGTTTGATCAGGGTTGATAAGGTCATTTAGTGCGACACGAAAATTTGTTTTAATTAAAATAATTAAAGGAATTAAAATAATTATTTCTTGTGTCTCGATTTTACAGGACAATCAACAAATTATGGTCTGTTACCAAAACTACAACGAGAATGGAAACAGCAGATATGCGATGAAACCAAGGGAGACTACCTGTCTACCTATCAGAACTCCTTCATTTCTCCACCTAAAAGTGCCTTGGTTACGCTAAGAAATGCTGTACCTAAACCCAGCTCCACATCTGTCCATAGTATTACAAAAATAAACAAAAATCTAGATTTCAGAAATGACCCAACTGCCAAGGGACCTGAACTTTCAGGAAGGGAATTGACAACAATCTCATGTTAGAAAATATACCAAAGATTTAGAATATATAATGATTTTAAAGATTATTCAGATGTGAATTGCACAGTACATAATATTTTGTCTCCTTTTTTTTAGCTTAAAGATACATTCTGGAACCAGATTAATTTTAAACCCAGCACTGTTTGTTATCTATGGAAGATGCCAGTGTTGGAAAATGTTAAATTTGTCATACTTTTGTAAATTCTGAATAGTATTAAACCATTTTTGAACAACTACATTTGTATAAGCAGCTTTAATCTACTGTTTGAATAATAGTTTCATTAAAGATACATTATGGGAGATTAGATACAGAGCTAGTAGTTCTCACTATCATAGTTAAAAACTAGATATTGTAAAGGGAATTTGCTGAAAATTTCAGTCAAATTGATCCACCCTGAACCGAGAATTTAGTGATTGAATTTTGGGCCTAGCCTTGATCATCATTACTAAATTCGGTACGATAAAATCATAGTCTCGATTATCCATTTTTTGATTTAATCAGAAGCAGCAGCAGCAAATATTGCAGGCTAGCGATGACATCAAGAGTTGATTATAGTCTGTTAAAGTTAATTAATGTCTAATTAATAATTTAGATAACAGTTCAGGCCTAAAGAAAGACCTGCAATTGGCAGATTTAGCTCTTGCATAATGCATGTTTAATTTTCACTAATGGTTATTGTATGTATATGTATATCCATTCTATATCAAGCTAACATTTACAATGCAAACCACATAATCAAATTATTTATTATTTTAATTTTTATATGAAAGTTTATAATATAGCTTTAACAAATTATCTATATAGATTTTCATGTTATTTATATGATTTTTAACAAAGCATTTTAGTTATACAGAATTGCTTAACTTTGCTTTGAATATATTCCTTCCCCTTTTGGACCAGGAACTGAACAGACTCTTGTTCTTGGGGCGACTTTTCAAAAAAGCCCAAGGCTTCGTCAATTCATCGGTTGTACATGACAAGGAGTAGGGTCGCTTGTCCAACCTCGTAGGGTTTCTCCGGGTCCTCCAGTTGCCTCCCACTGCTAAAGACCCCTACGCGCAAACAAATTATTTAAATAAAATTAAACCATATTATGTTAGTCCCGAAATGACCTAGTTTGTGTCGTAGACATCAACCCCATTTCTCTCTCTCGTCAATTCATGTCCATCAACATGAAAATTGGCATGCTTCCTTGAACAATTTCATCCAACATGGTCAGTTCCTGGTCCATAGTAGGATCGTCATTGTTTTATGAATTGTCTCCCTTATTGTTATTTTGTTTTCATTTTGAGTGAAGTCGGTATCATTACTGACTCAGGACTGTACAGCACAGTGAACGCTTACAGCTAGCCCCCGGATCCATTCACTTGATATGATATGATATACTTTGTTTGTTGTTTATTATTGGAAATATCTGTATATATTGTTCGTGGGTTGTCTTATGGGTTTAGTTTGTGTGTATTGCAGTCATCCTGCACTTACTATAAGTATTATTGTTATATTTAAATTATATATTTATTCAGTAAACTGTGATATAATTGTGTTATTTATATGAGTTATTGATTTATAGGGTAGGACTGGTGTTTGTTAAAAGGTGAAAAGAGAAATAACAGTGATCAAACTCAATGCTAGGTTCCCACTATCACGATTCACGCTACGATTTGAATTATGGTTTTAATCGTGAAGTAATCATGGTGATCCTAACAGGTCTTATAATATATTGAGGCCCGTCGCAGCAATCGAGTTGATCATATCAAATAATGTATCTGCACGTATGAGATCGTGGACTCAGTAGGAACATTCCTTTCGTAACGCATCGCACGATGGTGGGAATCTTTGTATAAGGTCACTCGAGAAAGAGCTGGTTGTTCTTGGTATAATACTTTAAAAATTTATGTATTAAAAATTTCAGTCAAATTACTTTATTCTAAGCAAACTTATGAATGCCTAATACATGTATAGAAAGCCTTTTACCTGTAGTTGTTGTGATGTTACACATTTTCGGAAGGTTTCGAATTTTTCGTCCATATTTGCATTTATAATGGTAGACATTAAGTAATCCACTCAATATCTTTGCCATCCAAGGTCTAGAGAGTTGATTATGGGCTTGTCATGTAAATAGATGTCTAAATAACAAATCATATAACATTTGAAGCCAGTAAAGAAATTGTCCGGCAATAGACAAATTTAAATCTTAATATAATATTCATCTTTGTGATTATATACCTAGACAGTATTATTTTTTATATTATTGTATTTTTGCTCAAATTATACAAGATGTACTGGTTTTTTAAAAAAAACTGTTTATATAATTTTAGATAGTTAAAGGGACAATAACACTCTTGCTGGCTTGACAGCTCCAGAAAATAAAAAATAGCCTTATTCTAAGTACTAGATGTGTTAGTGTCCTACCTGTTATGTAAATTATCCATTAAATCCTATTTTACTTGTCCACAGGGTTCAAAAATATTTTTAAATCCAAGTAACATTTGAAAAGCTTTACGTCAGGCTTTTCAAATCATTGAGTTGAATTTTTTCAATTTTTTAAATTAGGTGTGTTAAGATGAAATTTGTATCATCAATTAATTGGAATATTGTAAAATAGTACAATTTGTTGACCAGAATATAGATTGGGACATATTATTCAGTCACAACAAGAGTGGTATTGAGCCTTTAATATATTGTGTCTGTGATAATCCAATCTGATTAAAATACAGATCTATATTTCATTTCGTTTTTTTTATGCTTTCGATGGCCTCCACTGCATGAAGATCTGACCAGTTGTACTGGGAGGTTGCATCAGGGGTCATACTGGCAGCATGCCTATAACAGTTTCATTGCTAATCCCTCACATTAAGCAGAATACGGGTTACATAACAACTCTTTCAGATCCTAGTGTCGTAAAGACAACATTGAGTCAACTGGCATGGTTTTGATTCCCCGGTTGTACGTGACAACGAGTTGGGTCTCCTGTCCAACCTCGTGGGGTTTTTTCCAGGTCCTCCTGTTTACTCCCACTGCTAAAGACCCCTACGCGCAAGCGAATTATTGAAATAAAATTAAACCATATGTTAGTCCCGAAATGACCTAGTTTGTGTCAGTACTCCCTCTGTTATTCATTACCAAAGACATTTACTGAAATATTTTCATACCATGCATCTTTTTATTCAATAATCTGGATTGAGTTACAGGCTATGCTTATTTGTAACCCCTCCCTCTCCCTTATGTTACGGGAGCAACGGTGGGTAAGACGTTTGCTCACTAACCTGGATTGGTCGAGAAACTTCATCGGGTTTTTCCAACGTGGTTTGCCCCCTTGTCAGTGGTGCGGGATGGAAGGACTGAAAAGGACAGTTATTTCTAGTCGTTTGGATGGGACAAAAAACTGAGGTCTCATGTATACATTGGCATGTACGTAAAAGATCCGCTTGGCAGTTGGAATTAGATATAAGAGTAGGCGACAGTGCTGCTGCCCGGGCAAAGTTTCCCTCATAGCACACTGTATAGCGTGCCATACCCTTCATTATTACCTAATCAGAGCAGAGCTGTAGGACATTAAAACTCATTTCATTTACCTTATATGTTATTTCTGGTCATGGTCATTTTATAGACCTACTGTAGTCACCTATCTATGTTGTCTGCCCAGTGGAAACGGTTTTCTGGGCCTGACCTGCTGTAATCCCCTGTGTTGATTGGCTGATCTACAATGTTTGTTAGGCCAGCAGTGTAATCCCCGATGTTGATGGGCCCCTCGACTATGTTTTCTGGGCCTGTTGTAGCAGGCTGTACTGTTTTAACTTCTTGGATTCAATGGACTTCATTCATGAAATCTTCAACTAAAATATTTTTAAGAACTAACAATTTTCATTGGTTGGGGTGTCCATCATGTGTAATAAAAAATATTCTAGTTTTAGTTTTCAAGGTCCATATACCATATACGTTAATATCTAAAACTTGACTTACAAATTATCTAGACTGATTACTGTGTCCGTTGTCACTCCGATAATCAAAGGGGGAACATTACCCAACGACAGGGCCGTAACTAGCTCAGAGCAACGAGGGCGTCGGGTAATGTCCTCAGGGGTGCTGTAAAATTGACGGACAATGTATAACTATTGATTTTTTTATGGTGATCCATAAAGATGTGAATTTTTATGAAAATTATGTGATCCGAATAAGAGTCCACAAACTTCGTACACATTTCACATTTTGCGTATATGGCAGTTGCGGTCTAATGCGTACCACAACACGGATGGACAGGAGCGACGGCATAATACATCCACATGAAAATGTGGACGTAACATACAACAACTATTCCTAGGTCAACAGATTTCAAGGGCGAGCGGAAGTGAAATCTTGATTGGGGGCGGGCTAGATCGTCGGGGACGCTTTCTGGGCGATTTCTGGCTAAAAAAAATGAAGTGAAATTTTATTTCTTTTCTAATTCTCTTACCATGAAAACACAGTCAATGGTGGTTTAATCCTGTGACGCTGGCCTTGACAAATATATGCATAATAATACAAAGGTTATCGGACACAGAGGGCACAATTTTTATCCGATTTTGATGAAGCTTACAATATATATTTATAACCGAAAGGTCTCGGTTCCTTTCGATATCGGACGGTGCATGACTTCTTGGATTGTGACCCCTGATTGTACATTTTAGTTTGTGGACCCTGTAGAAGTCACAGTTTTTATTTGATTGTAAAAACCGTTCAAATATAGTAAAGTTACACCATAATTACAGTTAAGTTCACATTTCGTCATTTCGTGAAATTCGGACCGAAACTGCCCTTAAAAGCATGTAATTGTAATACCCAGGTTAGATTTAAATATTACGGACACCTGCAGATTTCGCCAAGGTCACGAGATGTAAACAGGGCTAGCGCCAACCCTAGACCAAGACCTAGCCCTTATCCTAACCCACAATCCTCTGCAAAAATCACGTGCCCTAACCCATTTACATCTGGTGACCATGACGAAATCTGCCGGTGGCCTTTATTAAAATATTTGAATCTGACCGTTATACCCAAGTTCAAATTTGTTATCCAATTTTGATGAAAATAATGTATATTTATATCTAAAAGATCTGGATTCCCTTCGATATTAGCTCGTATTGGACCGTAACTCTTTGGATTATGACCCCGTGATTGTATGAAATATCACGTTTTTAGCTTAAGGCCCGTCACAATCTTTATCTTATTTTCAAAACTGTTCAAATATATAACCGTTTCACCATAGTTATGGTTGAGTCCGAATTTCCTGAAAATCGGATCGAGACTTCCCGTCAAATAGCCACTCCCCGTTACGCAAATAGTATGATAAAAGCATTTAATACCCAGGTTGTGGACCATCTAGAAGTCACAATTTTATCCCATTTAGATGAAACTTAAAACGAGAATCACTAGTTCTTGGGTGAGTTCAATTTTCGTGCGCATCTGCCCCTCCCTGCCCTTTACACAAAATGTGAAATATGAATGGCGTTTCTGGACCTTTCCCATGAAACTGAAACTATGTGTTAAGTTCTTGGATGAGTTCGATTTATTTGGTACGCATCAGACCTTACATTCCAGAGCTATAGCCCTTGCTTTTCACGCACAATTTGAAATATTATGCATGGATTTTGTAAGCCCTCCAGAGGGGCTACCATTGTTGTCCCATTCTGATAAAACTTGACAAATATATCATGGATCAAAAGATCTTGAATAAGTGGATGAGCCCTATTGATTTTACCTCTTTCCCATCCATTTCTTACAAAATGTGGGTGTTTCTTGCATGGCAACCGATTGTTTGAACTGATCATAACTGATAGCAGTGAATTATTTGATGGATAAGGGACACAAGGAAAGAGAATAAGAAAAACTCGTTTTTCTAATAAGCCAATTTGTCAGAGATACAACGGACGTGACACGGACTTGAAAGAAAGATAGGCTGTTCAGTTATCTAATCGCGACCCTCTCAACCGTGGTCAGTATTAAGAGAGAGAGAGAGAGAGAGAGAGAGAGAGAGAGAGAAATGGGGTTTAACGTCCACTCGACACAAACTATATCATTTCGGGACTAACATATGGTTTAATTTCATTTCAATAATTCGCTTGCGCGTAGGGGTCTTTAGCAGTGGGAGGAAACCGGAGGACCCGGAGAAAACCCACGAGATTGAACAGGCGACCCTACTCCTTGTCACGTAAAACCGGGGATTCGAAACCACGCCAGTTGACTCAATGGCAGGCCGTATGATGCAGTACGCACGAGCTAGCCATTCGGCCACCCACCCCCCTGGTCCGTATTAAGAAAAGCGGGGTTTTCTTCTTCTGAAAGTCTACCTTCAAGAAATCTCTTGTCTATGTTAAAATCAGGCCCCTTTACTTGTATGCAATTACCTGGAGAAAGGAATACTTGCGGCCAAATTATTGGGGGCTTTATAAACCCCCCCCCCCCCCCGCTACCCCCACTCCACCGGGCCTGATTTCTATCTTTGCTGTTTATCCCTTTACATTGAATATCTGTGTGAATCAAATGGAATAATAGACTATATTTTGTTATAACAGTAATATCATTAATGGATGCAGTCGACTGTAAAATTATAATTTATTTGGGTATGTCTCATCGACATCAGTATGAACAAGTGCGCTGTGTCAAACTATGACTTACGATATTATTTATTAATATTTCAACTCCATAATCGAATATCGACCTATGAGTTGATCAAATTTCTTCTATGCCTACATATATATAATTATTTTCTATATCGGGACTTCATCCCTGTAGATAAACATTTAATGATATGATACTATTTAAAATCACATGATAAAAACATTGCTGTATCATCATCGAAACATGTCTCCCGTTAATGTAGGCCTCCTGTTCAATATGATCAATATTTGCTGTATCATTTCATGGATTATACTCAACATGGATGAATAAACTTGTCGGATCTGACCCAGGCACGTTTTCAACAGCAACATCGACCCGAGAGGCAACTTTTAGAAGATCTACAGAATGGTTCGATGTTCGAAGAATGTAATTTTGCGGATAACGGCTATAGCGGTAGGATGTCTGGGGATGGCAGTGGCTGGTTCCATATTCGCCTTCAACGCCTACTCCAATGCTATCAAATTAAGTTTCCGGTATTCACAATCTCAAGGTGCGTTGCAGGTCATTTACTTTTCAAACAGTGATTTATAACCTTTATTATCCACCGATGACTAACGAAATTAGAGTTTTATTTAGGTTATTTTGAGATTAAGATAAAATGGTATTTGAGGTTTTATGTAACACTGTTTCTAGGTGTAATCCTGCCAAGATCTAATTATTAAGGCCACCAACAGATTCCTTCAAGGTCGACAAGATGTAAATGGGGTTAGGGCACGGAATTGTTGGCGAGATTGTGGGTAAGGGCTAGGACTAGGTCCGAGGTTAGGGTTAGGGCTAGCCCGGTTTACATCTCGTGACAAGGACAGCTGTCTAGTCGTTCGGATGGGACGAAAAACCGAGGTCCCGTGTACACATTGGCGTACACGTAAAAGATCCCTTGGCAGTTGGAATTCGATAGAAGAGCAGGCCGTAGCGCCGCTGCCTGGGCAAAATTTCCCTAATAGCACACTGTATGGCGTATGCCTGTCTTCATTAGCCCAGGTTAGGAGCAGAACAGTAGGACGTTAAACCCATTTCATTTCATTTCATTCTCGTGACTTTTGACCAAATCTGCAGGTGACCTTAGGAAATAGATCTAACCGTTTAGTCCTATTATCAATTTGTAGATGTGGACCTCGATTTGCATATCATCAAACCACACTTCCCCTATAAGTCCTACAGTCACAATTAAGTGGAGAATTTTTCCTGAACAATGGCTATACAGTGAACGCTGACAATTTTGGACAATATGTGACGTTCGTGTTTCGTTCCTTTCGAAAGACCAGGCTGCTTTCGTATCTTTCGAAAGACCAGATTGCTATTTTACTACAGTCGTGCCCTGGCAAGTGAAAATCTGACATGATTATGCATTAAAGGGATAAATAGGCAAACGTATGGAAAACCTCATGACTGGATACATGTAGGTTATTTAGAAGACCTTTTCCTAATTTCTAATTCAAGCTATTATAAGGTTGGCTCCAAATTTAAATTTCTGGTGGTCTAAAAAAGGTATTAAACAATTTCAAATTCCCTTTTCAGTTGAAATGATGTCCGCACTGAGTAATTTTGGCATCTGTCTTGGATTTCCAGCCGGTTTTATGTATGAAAGGACTGGTGCCAGATGGACGTCTTTTACATCCCTGATTTTAACTACGCTGGGATTTATAATGCTGTATACAACTTACGATGAAGTCGAATTCTACCATGATAATCCATATTTACAGGATATTTATTTCTTTATTACTGGTAATGTCAATAATTATTGTTAACTAAATCCTACACATAGAAAAATAAGTACGATACTACTATATGGACTAGGAATTGATCATGACGTCATCGTCGCCATTTTGGAATTGTAACGTCGTAATATATATATTAAGGTCGGCAATCGCTACGCAGTCGTACAAGAGAGAGAGAGAGAGAGAGAGAGAGAGAGAGAGAGACTAGGTCCAATTATATTTCAAAAATTCGCTTCCGCGTAGGGGTCTATAGCAGTGGGAGCAAACCGGAGGACCCGGAGGAAACCCACGAGGTTATACAGGCGACCCTACTCCTTGTCACGTACAACCGGGGAATGACAGACCTTATGATACAACGCACACGCGCTAACCATTCGCCCCCAACCACATACACACTCCTTGTCCATGGCACAAGCATGCAAGGTTTCGTGTCGATTGTAATTGAATTTGAAGAGAGTCTCCCCCGAGAAGATCAATAGACTTTTTTGATATAGAATATTGTTCAGATAGCCGAAATCTCGACGTCACTTCACCCCCATCAAATTTATTTATTGTATCTTTCAGGATTCGGTTGTATTTTCACCTACATGGCATGTCTTACTACCAGTATGCACAACGTCCATGCTAAGCACAGAGGTAAAATCGTGGGACTTCTCGATTCTTCCTTCAGTGCTGGTCCTGCCATTTTTGCTCTCATTTACGGCGTCTGCTTTGTAAATGGCCACACAACAGACGTTCAGAATCAGGATTTGAAGGGGTTTTACCTGATGTCAGCCATTGCCTTTATAGTTACAAATTTACTGGGCGTTGTTTTCCTGAGCATTTATTCTACGCATCCTCCGGAGAGTTCTGATGACAGAGAGAAGTTAGTTAACAGCGTCAACTTCATCGAATCCGCTGAAAAAAGCGTAGAAGAGGTAAAAGACGTGACTGGATTCGCTTTATTAAAAAATGTTGATTTTCATTTCATATTTTGGCCGTGCGTCATGTGCTCCAGTCTCCAGCTCATGTATATAAACAACATTACGACATATCTGAGGTCGTTCGATTACCAGGATAAAAGTACTTTATTTACGGTGTTGAATCCCGTCTCGGCGACATGCTCCAAGTTCATTGTTGGTTTTACGTCTGACATCATTGCCGAGAAGGTACCAAGGGCTGCCGTTATATTAGCCGCCACAGTGTTTCAAAGCATCGTTCTTGGCGTGTGTGTGTTTTGGGGAGACTCTTATCCCGTGTTACTGTTAGCCGTTCTTGGCGTGGGTGTTGCGAACGGTGCTACTTGGTGCCTGAGCCCTACGATGACTAGCGAACATTTTGGTATGAAATATTTTGGGATGAACTGGGGTTTAATGATGGTTGGGTCTGGTATAGGTGGATTGATCATGCAGCAGGTGTACGGTTCATTGTATCAAGCAGCTATAGGAGATCCCAGCGTCACCGATTGTTATGGACTACGTTGCTTCCGGTGGAGCTATGGTATAGCTGCGGTGATGAGTCTGTGCTCCGTTCTGCTGTATGCCGGTCTTCTGGAGGGTCGTATTAGACATAAAAGACGATTAAATGAAATCTTAAAGAAAGTTGAACGTATGCCCCGTGAAACCGCGCGCGACCCAAAGGAAATATTTTGATTCTACAAAGGGCACCTGCCACAGACAATTATGACACACAGATCTAGAGATTTAGATCCAGTCTCTCAGTTTGTCAGTCACAGATTTGTGTCCTTTCGGTGTGTCCAGAACTAGTTCATTATTGCTTGAAATTATGATGCATTTCAAATCATTTTATCCAGACCTGACCTGGCTCACAAGCATGGACTGTAGTTGTACTTGTTCATTTCAAACAACTGCATCCATAACTTTGTTAGTAGCCATTTTCCAGAGTTTCCAGTTTATCCATGTAGATTAGGCTTCTAAAATCCAAGTATAGTGACAACCGGGTAATGTCCAAAAGGGGCAGCGCTTCTGATTCAACCATGGGGAATTTTAGTCGACCGCGAGCAGTTAGTTTCAGGACCACGAACCATTAGGATTTCCGAACCATATAGTCGCTGAAACATCAAAATAAAGCATCCAAAATATTGTAATTCATCGTAATACTTTGAGATATCCAGTTCCTGATTTAGGCCAAATGTGGTCCTGTGCTAGTTAAGATAAGCTATGGGGTCCCTTGCTTGTCCTGAAGGGGGTAGCTTAACCCGACATGCATATTACAGACAGTCCGACATACATGCTCAGAAAATCTACGAACAGGTAAAACATTATATGTAATGTGATCAATTATTATTTTCAACAAGTTTTAGGCAGATTTAGAATTATTTGGAAGGAAGAAAGATAAACCCTGATGAACGACTCCCTGTAGGTGGTGTACAGCTATAAAATATAGATGACATTATCATAAGATATATTTGTGGATGAATACCGAATTAAAAACCATTCACTCTTTGATTTGGTGAACCCCCTTTTCCCCGCTCCTCCTCGGCCAACGAAACTGTCAATCAATGTTTAAACTCTAGTTTCTGTTTCTATCATGTCGAAGATGTTGTTATTGTTGGTGAACACAGATAAGGTGCTCTGAAGCACGAAAATGACGCGCATAAAACATGGGATTTACCCTAGCGGAAGTCGAAGATGAATACATCTAGTTTTGTGGGATTAGATGGCCTAAATGGTTAGCGCGTGTGCGTTGTATCATTAGGTATGTCATTGTGTCAACTGGTGTGGTTTCGATTCCCTGATTGTACCTGATAGGGAGTTGCGTCGCCTGGCCAACCTCATGGGTTTTCTCCGGGTCCTCTGGTTTTCTCCCACTGCTATCCCTACGCGCAAGCGAATTATTGAAATAAAATTGAACCATATGTTAGTCCCGAAATGACCTAGTTTGTGTCGAGTGGACGTTAAACCCCATCTCTCTCTCTCTCTCTCACATCAAGTTATGAGTGTGGTCTGTAGTATTACCGGGGAATTTTATAAAATTAGAAACGCTGAGACCAGATTTCTGCTCATTTACATGTATAGGGTGGGGTTTGGGCGGTGGGGGGGGGAGGGGCTCTGGGTATATATCTAACAGTAGACCATAGCGCCTGGTAGCGCCGCCCGTTCGACCAAAATTTCGCCCATAGCACACTGTATTTATACCTGTCTTCATTATCCCAGTCGGTGTGGATGGGACGAAAAACCAAGGTCCCGTGTACACATTGGCGTGCACGTAAAAAATCCCTTGGCAGTTGGAATTCGATATAAGAGTAGGCCGTAGCGCTGCTGCTCGGGCAAAATTTCCCTCATAGCACAATGTACGGCGTATGCCCGTCTTCATTAGCCCAGGTTAGAAGCAGAACAGTAGGACGTTAAAACCTATTTCATTTCATTTCATTTCATTTCCAAGTCGGTATGGAAACGTAGAACGTTAAACCCCATTTCATTTATATTTCTCAATATATTATATAACACTGCACGTCAGTAGAACAACATTAGTTATAAAATATTTTATTGAAACAAAATTATAAAATATAAAACATTGTTAATTCATTATACATAAATTATATACATCTTCTGGTTTAAACACTCACCCACTCTCCCACCCCACCCAACCTCACCGCCAATCCAGATCAACCATTATAAAACAAAAGGAAAAAGGGTGTTGAATCCATCAAATCAATATAATCACTATATTTTACTACCAATAGTACAGAACCTGGTCCTGGTCTACAACACCAAGTTGTTCCAGGCTATAGTCGTTTTTGTTGCTTTCACAGTCGTAGATAAATCTCATACTACCATGTCTATATCCCTCTATACCAATCAGACTAATCTTCTTATTCTTCTTCTCTTCTATCAACTTCATTAAATCATTAACACTGACTTTCTTACTGACAGTTATAGTACCCATATCTTTATATCTACATCTATAAATACAGGTTAATATATTATATCATTATCAACTGATATAAATACAGGTTAATATATTATATCATTATCAATAATCATCTTATCTTTGTAAACCTCAGAAATATGATATAAGAAAAGGTTTGTTACGACTCTTAGTGAAGTTTCTCAAGTTTAACAATCATCAAAATATATATTATTATGAACACATTTACTTACTCGTCATATAACTTTAGAGTAATATCATTACTCGTATCCCTGATATAACGTCTAGTATTAGTGTTGGTGTTTGTCTTGACTTCTGATTGTTCTACTTTCTTCTTAAATGCTTCCAGGTCAGCAACTCTTTTTTTCAATTCAGCTATTTCTTCATCCTTTCTTTCGAATTGTTCATTTATCCGATTAAATTTAAACCGGAAATCTTCCATCTCGGAAGTAAGATCATCCAGGTCGGTCTGGTTACTAGTTTCATTTATTGTGTTTGATTTTCCAATCTGTACAGCTTGACAATCACCATGGGCATGTAGAGTATACATGTAGGTATTGTGGGTAACGGTTGATATCTGGAATAGAAAATAAATAAACAACCAGTCCCTACTTGTAAATATTATTACAACAATAACTCTCTTCTTAGATATGATAACCCTGATATATATACATGATATTTTTTACGTCAGATTCAGACAGTGACGTAGCACGCGCGAGAAACTTATTTCCTGATCAAATGGTAGAGAAGGGGCAGGTAATTCACTTTGACAAGGTTAGGGGTCAGAAGGATTTAGAAAGGCTGTTGATCAGCTTATTAATGACAGACATTGTGATTTCACGCCCCCTACATCACTATGTCCACTCGACACAAACTACGTCATTTCGGACAAGCGATCCTATTCCTTGTCACGTACAAGTGGGGAATCGTGGACATGATTTAACACCCCCTATATCAGAAAGAAGTCTATGAAGTATAAAAACGACGTATGCAGTCTTTAGTGCAGGCGTTGAGTTTTATAGTTTTAGGATCGGTGAGATGATCGGTGGACAAGGGATTAGTCGTTAACAGAGGTTTGGTGATGCATGGAGACAACCCCTTGATTGTTTTCCCTCAAACCTTTAGTATAGGGCCCGGTAGCTAAGAGAACGTAGCTAAAAACGTTGAGATATACTCTGATGTGTTCGTTTTTTGGGTTGTTTTTTTTTTGCGGGGGGGGGGGGTGGGGTGTAGTATACGATTGGGTGCCCTTAGTTTCGCCTGGCAAACTAAATTTCTTTATTAATTCATGTAACATCTACAAATAAGTTAATTTTATACTATAAGGACTAATTAAAGGAGCTAAATCTCCATTCTTTGGCACCTAGATAGGGACACAAATGGGTCGCAACGCATATAATAATAGGGAGAGGGGTTTTACATAGGCTAAACCTGTTCCCCAATCCCATTAAGACATCCTGAATAAAAATATTGTTTATATAAAAATATGAATGTACAATGTATATAAACTGTTCTACTCTAATTTCTAATTAGTTATGTTCGACGAAATACGCGAAGAGTCCAAATTGAATGGCAGTCTTTGGCGTTTGTTATTCCAGTCTACACCGGATATATTTAGTCTCGTACATCGGATCCCTTCATTACAAATGGCGCTTGAAAGCATTCTGGCACGCGATTCGTGTAACAATTTTAAAATATTCATTTTGTCTTAAATATTGGACATGAAAAGACCATCTTTTCACGGTAAGATAACAACATCAATGTTGATTTAAACTGACCTATATAAGTCATGTTAGCAATGTCGAAGGATATAGGTAATATTGAGTTAGAGACGCACCCAGCCCAGTGTAGTGAAACAACTTTCGTTTATCTTCAAATATTGTCAGTAAAATGAATCAAGTCGTGTTCATATCAAAATTGATACTGACAGAACGGGAACGAAGACATATTAAATGTATACAAAATTCAGATGAATTAACCTTTGTATTCAAATTAAATATAAATCTATTCTTTATATGTAACATGTTCTCTACTCTCGTTTCGCTTATTTAAACACAGAACCATATTCACGACAGATTAGATTGAATGTTTGGTGATGTTTATATTCAACGAGAGGGAAGACGGTGATTATCAATCAAGATTACACCAGATTTGATTGAGTGTTTGTATTCAATTAGAGGATGAGATCAAAACATCTAGTGTTATTTTATAAACATGACGTAGTTGTACTTACTGGGGTGGCCATTCTGCGTGTGCTTACAACTTTCTTCCTCTAGAGTTCCACTAAGTTCTTACTAAAGACAAACAGAACTGTATAACACTAGATCAAGGGGGTTCTATAAAAATTACCCATTGGAAAAACCCAGTCTATGTATAGTGTATTAAAGACGTGTTTTAGTCTTGTATAACTTGTCTCACATTTAACTACTTTGAGAGAGATCAAGTACGATAAATAATTATAATATTTCTACACACATGGATAGCCATTCTCGATAAAGAATATAGTCTTGAACACTAATACAATACTTTACTGTATTATAAGTTTAACCTAAATATAGAAATAGAATAAAATATGTTGTAACAGTCTGATCGAATGCACCCCAGTTATTTGATCTATAGGTGTTCAGTTGTGTCTGGATAACTTCGACTATTGAATACGAGTGTCAATGGAAAAACCTGTCTATTTATTCGTATTACGACAGTTTGTAATATGGAGTTAGACTGGTAATCACCACGCCCATTAACTTTTACGTTAATTTCATATCAAATCTCTACCTATCGTTATTCTATACATTCCTATAATCTTATTCTACATATCTAACTAAAATCCATAAGTTACCAATTATCTAATAATTATGTAATAACAATATTTATAATTCTATATGCACCAGATTATATAGTTCGAAGCACAAGATTCGTTTCGAAACATCAGATTCGGTTCAAAGCACCAGAGAGAGAGAGAGGGGGGGGGGAGAGAGAAATGGGGTTTAACGTCCACTCGACACAAACTAGGTCATTTCGGGACTAACATATGGTTTAATTTTATTTCAAAAATTCGCTCGCGCGTAGAGGTCTTTAGCAGTGGGAGGAAACCGGAGGACCAGGAGAAAACCCACCAGATTGGACAGGCGACCCTACACCTTGTCACGTTAGTATCAAATGTTTATTGTTAAATTCATATTTTAGTTAAAATAGTGTAGTGTGGTGTTAAGTAGTGTTATCCTTTTATAATCAACAAAATATAAAACAAAATCATTGCAATATTTGTTAAAAAGTGACTTTTTTGTTTGTTTGTTTTTGTTTTTTTTTAATTTTTGGCCTATACGAAAACACAAAACTCCCAAAATCCAAATTGCACACATCTGGTTCAATACTAGACACTGATTCGCCTGGAAAACGAGGTGCAAATAATGTGGCATAACAAAAACAATACACCCCTATTAATATCTATTGTAATACACAACCCTGAAAGTCTGTTGTACTTTTTATAAGCCTTACACCCCATAGCCAATAAAATATATTTTATTTTTGTTACCTTTTGGGCACCTTCCGCGTTTTACGGAAGTATTAAATATGTGTTACTGTCACTTCTTTCTTTCGTCAATTTCTAAAAGTTAGATACTCTCGACACGTACACGTATGGAATATCTATCTTGAAGCAACAAAACCTTGAAAACACTAAATGTCAAGTTACCCCCAGAGGCGTGCTGGATGGGCATAGGCAGGGTAGGCAGAGGCAGGGTAGGCGCGTCCATCAAGAAAAAGGGCACTCTGTGAATGAGAAGGGCAACAAAAGTCTCACCCTACCCCACCTACCGTTTTAATTCTGTACGGATTTGAGGCTTTTAGGTAATTCCCACTTTTTGCCACTTTCCGAGTTTTCCGAGTTTTGTATTTTCGTATAGGCCAAAATACAAAACTCGGAAAACTCGGATATTTAATTATAACTGCCATATTGCAGTATTTTGGTTAAAATCTAACTGAAAAGGTTATAGATCATGTCCAACTTATTAAATAGATGTGTTACTGTCACTCCTTTCGCAAATTTTATTTCTAAAAGTTAGGTAGGCCTATTCTCGACACGACGTATATAGTATGGGAGAACGGGGCAGGTTCGGCCTCGGGGCCATGTGTCAAATTGAAATTATATACACACCTCGTTTTAATCATTTCATCTTTTGGATGTCCGAGTTTTCGATCTCACCCAAGTTATCCCCGTAAAGGCGAGTTGAGTTCCTTTGTACATATTACAACCCTTACACACCATATCCAATGAAAAATATTTTATTTTGATACCTTTTGACCACATTCCGAATTTTCCGAGTTTCGTATAGGCCAAAAATTAAAAAAAAAAAAAAACATAAAAATAAAAACAAACAAACAAAAAAGTCACTTTTTAGCAGAGGGCGGAAACCGGAGGACCCGGAGAACCCTACTCCTTGTCACGTACAACCGGGGAATCGAAACCACGCCAGTAGACTCAATGGCAGACCTTATTATACAACGCAAACGCGCTAACCATTCGCCCCCCCCCCAACCAGACACACACCCACACACACACACACACACTCCTTGTCCAAGGAACAAGAAGCCACGTTTCGTGTCGATTGTAATTGAATTTGATGAGCGTCTTCCCCGAGAAAAACAATAGACTCTTTCGATGTTTTGATATAGAATAGTGTTCAGATAGCGGAAATCTCGACGTCACTTCACCGCCACCAATAGAATACTTTGATATAGAAAAGTGTTCAGATAGCGGAAATCGCGACGTCACTTCACCCCAATCAATAGACTCTTTCGATGTAGAACAGTGTTCAGATAGCGGAAATCCCGACGTCACTTCACCGTCATCAATACTTATTTATTGTATCTTTCAGGATTCGGTTGTATTTTCACCTACATGGCATGTCTTACTACCAGTATGCACAACGTTCACGCTAAGCACAGAGGTAAAATTGTGGGGCTTCTCGATTCTTTCTTCAGTGCTGGTCCTGCCATTTTTACTCTCATTTACGGCATCTGCTGTGTAAATGGCCACACAACAGACGTTCAGAATCAGGATTTGAAGGGGTTTTACCTGATGTCAGCCATTGCCTTTATAGTTACAAATTTACTGGGCGTTGTTTTCTTGAGCATTTATTCTACGCATCCTCCGGAGAGTTCTGATGACAGAGAGAAGTTAGTTAACAGCGTCAACTTCATCGAATCCGCTGAAAAAAGCGTAGAAGAGGTAAAAGACGTGACTGGATTCGCTTTATTAAAAAATGTAGATTTTCATTTCATATTTTGGCCGTGCGTCATGTGCTCCAGTCTCCAGCTCATGTACATTAACAACATTACGACATATCTGAGGTCGTTCGATTACCAGGATAAAAGTACTTTATTTACGGTGCTGAATCCCGTCTCGGGGACATGCTCCAAGTTCATTGTTGGATTTACATCTGACATCATTGCCGAGAAGGTGCCAAGGGCTGCCGTTATATCAGCCGACACAGTGTTTCAAAGCCTCGTTCTTGGCGTGTGTGTGTTTTTGGGGAGACTCTTATCCCGTGTTACTGTTAGCCGTTCTCGGCGTTGGTGTTGCGAACGGTGCTACTTGGTGCCTGAGCCCTACGATAACTAGCGAACATTTTGGTATGAAATATTTTGGGATGAACTGGGGTTTAATGATGGTTGGATCTGGTATAGGTGGGTTGATCATGCAGCAGGTGTACGGTTCATTCTATCAAGCAGCTATAGGAGATCCCAGCGTCACCGATTGTTATGGACTACGTTGCTTCCGGTGGAGCTATGGTATAGCTGCGGTGATGAGTCTGTGCTCCGTTCGGCTGTATTCCGGTCTTCTGGAGGGTCGTATTAGACATAAAAGACGATTAAATGAAATCTTAAAGAAAGTTGAACGTATGCCCCGTGAAACCGCGCGCGACCCAAAGGAAATATTTTGATTCTACAAAGGGCACCTGCCACAGACAATTATGACACACAGATTTAGAGATTTAGATCCAGTCTCTCAGTTTGTCAGTCACAGATTTGTGTCTTTTCAGTGTTTTTATTTAAAAATGACTGGCACTAGTTCATTAATCGCATTTCAAATCATTTCATCCAGACCTGACCTGGCTCACATGCATCGACTGTAGTTAATTCCTAACAGCTCCATCCATAATTCTGTTAGTGGTCATTACCCAAATATAGTGATATGTCCCACTCACTATAGTCTAAACCGGGCAATGTCCAAAAGGGGCAGCGCTTAGGCTCGTATCTGGTGGGGGGGGAGGTTTTGCCCCACCCCACCACCCCCACCCCCCTGTGAAAAAATTGTCGACCATAAAAACAATAGGTATACATTGTCCGTCAATTTTACAGCACCCCATTTCCCGTTCCCCACCCTCGTTGCTCTGAGCTAGTTACGGCCCTGGCAGCGCTTCTGATTCAACCCTGAGGCAATTTTGGTCGACCGCGAGTGGTTAATTTCAGGACCACGAACCATTAGGATTTCCAAACCATGTGTAGTCGTTGAAACAACAAAATAAAGCATCCAAAATGTTGTAATTCATCGTAATACTTTTAGATAGTCAGTTCCTGATTTAGGACAAATGTGGTTCTGTGCTAGTTAAGATAAGCTATAAAGGTCCCTTGCTTGGGTCATGAAGGAGGTAGCTAAGCAGGCCTGAAAATAAGCGGTTTACATGTACCTGACAAAATAATCAGCACCCGAAATAGTACCTGACATTTTCAACTTAGTGCCGGACATATATTAATAATATCAATAAAAAAGACAAATCCGTGCCGGACAAAATGACAGGCACCAGAGGTTTAGTGCCTGGCAAAGCCTGAATCTGTGCCTGACATTGTCAGTGACAGGCTTGTAGCTAGGCCGGACATGATTATAGAGTTAGTCCCGTATACATGACTATTCTGTTAGTCCCGTATACATGACTATACAGGTAGTCCGGTACATATGATGATACAGGAAGGTCGGTATACATGACTATACAGGTAGACCGGTATACATGACTATACAGGTAGACTGGTATACACACTCAGAACATCTGAGTAGTTAAAATGTTACATGTTAGCCGATCATTTATTATTTTCAACAAGTTTTAGGCAGATTTTTGAATTATTTGGAAGGAAGGAAGATGGGACCCATAATGAACGACTCCCTGTAAATGGTGTACAACTATAAAATACAACTGACATTATCATAAGATATATTTGTGGATGTAGACCAAATCTAAAAACATTCACTCTTTGATTGGGTGAACACCCTCTTCCCCGCTCCTCCTCGGGCAATGAAACCGTCATTCAATGTTTAAACTCTAGTTTCTGTTTCTATCATGTCGAAGGTGTTGTTATTGTTGTGGACACAGATAAGGTGCTCTGAA